CTGTTTGTAGTTTTTTGTTCCCCGGGGGGGGGGGGGGGGGCATTAGGTACTTCTATAGCCATTCTGAAACAACCAGTTTTGTCTTTGTAGACAGGTGGAGTAAATCTGAATATGTATATTATTCGGTTGTCTTATATGTATTTTCTATGAGTTTGAGTGGTAGGATGACATTTAGGATCAGATTTGGCATTTTTGCAGAGACTGTTCATGAGTAATTGTTTCAGGTGATTCTGATGGTCCAGCAGGAGCTGTCAGCATAGTTGTGAAAAATCTGTGATGTGGAGTATTGATTTCTGTTTTCCTTTGTACACTTGTGAAGAAATAAGAATGCAGGAGGAATTAAAAGTCTTTGCATTGGGGAAGTTGTAAAAGAGGGTTTTGGTGCCATAGGGTATAACTTTGGAGTTTCTTGTTTCAGATTTTGCATAACTGTGGATTGCTTTAATTTACTTCTAATTGAACAAGAAGTAAATATTTGAAATTATTCTGTAGAACCACTGATGATAAAGATGATATAGTTTGGCTTTTGTCTGTCTTAAACCACCCATTCTGATTTCCCCAAAGAGTTAAAAGCTATTCTTGATTTGTAAGGGACTAAAAAAAAAAAGCTGTCCAAAAATGTTTTTGTTCTGTGACTACAACTTATCTTTCCATGTTAGTAAAAACAAGATTTTACTAAATTGTATCCTATAGGGTTTAAAACAAAGTCGAATGGAAGCAGCACTGGAGAGAGAAACACATGAAAAATAACTGATTATCCACCACTGTTTTGAAGGATTGTAAGTACCATAATTTTGTGCTAAATGAAGATACAAGCAACATAGTGTTGCTTGATAAAATTTGTTTGGAACTACAGTTCATGTTACAAGGTCTCAACAAGTTTTGAATTCTGTGCAAAATCTGTGGGCTTTGGGACTTCCATCAACTCTCATGGCTCTCCACAAAGACCACCTTCTGCCAGTATTAATCCTTTTTTTGCTTACCAGCCATGGAGTATTATTTCCTTGATTAGAATGGAGGAAAGTATTTTACCGCTCTGATGAGAGGTTTAACTACAGCATCTCTCTACGACAGCATTAACAGCACAGCTTATTGAACTATGCAGAGTTACCCTACTTGTTTATGGGCTGTTTTGAAAAGAAAGGATTGTTAAGTGAAATGCATTTTTTGCATCTATGTACACATCTTGAGAAGCAACTGCTGCTTTATGCAGATGGGGCAGCAGGATGCGTAGCTGAACTTTGTTTTCAGGACGCGATTAACATCTCAGTTTGATGTTGTTGAGCAATTCTGTTCTCATTACTTCAGTGCCCGAGCTTATATTTTAAATCCTTTATTTAGAATTCTCCAGTATATTCTTCAGTTCCTTTTAGAGCAAAATTATATACTCATAGGCACTTTTTTTTCTGTTTTTCTGTGACAACATGTAATTTTTGTACATTTGACTAGTTCTTGCTTGTTTGCTTAAAAACCAAAAGCTCTTGTATACTAATTTTTGCTTCCTTTTTAAAGCCAGATACAAATCTTTCCAACTGAGAGTTGTATATCACTTGTGCACTGATGGTTGATGGTGAAGATCAGAATTTTATCAAGAAAATTGACATTTTCTTAACACTGAGCTCCCCCTGGTAACAAGTGAACAAGAACTTAAGACTAGGAATTATATGTGCATTGAAATCAGCTATTTCTTGAAGACTTCCATTCAGATGTGGTTAGGAAGCACTGCAGCAATAAATTATTTTTTACTTCCCTGAAACAACTTTTTACCACAACAGATTTAAGTCTTTTAACCCCATGTGGTAGATTTCATTTCTCTCTCATGTTAATGCCGCTTGTATTCGTCAGACTTTTTTGTCTGAGTAACAACACCAGAACTAGTGCTTAGAGTATAGTCTTTAAGGAGTCAGCTCTGGCAGCAGTGTATGTTACAATGGCGACCGGTGGCAGTGGCCTGGAAAATGGTATACCATTGTATTAAGAGGGGATATCTTAAGGGTCTGATTAGAATCCTGAATATAACAGTTGGATTCAGAAAGGCTCTTTCTTTTTTTTTTTTTTTTTTTTTTTTGTTTTGTTTCAAATGCTTGTTAATAAAGTTCTACTTTGCAAACTTTGAATGTGGTTCGTTTTGGGGTCGTTTTTACTTCTAGCTTCTGCAGACATCTGTCTGTTGGGTGAATGGCTGAAATACACCAGATATTTCTGCTCTGTGGCCTTTTTCTGAGTACCGTTACTAAAAGCAAATTAGAAAAAGCAGAGCATGGAAAGGTAATGGTAAGTATGGACTTAGATTTCAGCCCTTATAATCTTCACTCTTGTAGAATAGAGGCTGTAGCCACAAAACTAGACTAATTAATGACAGTGGTTTTCTTTTCAGGGAAACTAGCCAAATACAAGCCTGAACTTTGCTGCATTTAGTTCCTTTTCCTACTGTGGTCAAGTGTCAGAAAAATCACAAATTTCTTACAAATAATTGAGCAAAAAGAGAAAGACATAGTCTTAGCTTCCCTAAGCCACTTTGAAGGCTTTTTAATTGTGTAGCTGAAGTACATTGATTTGCTTGCAGTGCTGCAAAGCTGCAAAAGCAGCTGTTTGGCAACTGTTCCTTGCTAGAGAGGCACAACTGCTGTCTGCATCAGTCAGCTAGTCCTATGTTAGTATCTGGCATTATGTTATAAAAAGTGGCCTTTCTTGGTATAATCTAACATCCAGTATTACTTTTAGTGCAGTCCTGATCATAAAGGGTTTTATTATTTTTATTTTGTGATTCATGTAATTAATTTCATTGCAAATAAAACAACTGAAGAGAAATAATTTATTTTAGATAGGCTTTTGGCAAAATTTTATATTTTTCTTCGGAAGGTATCACTCAGATACAATCTATAAACATATTTGCAAAACTAGTTGAGCTTTTAGAGTTAAATTAATGCTGTTTTCTCTTCCTCAGTCCTTTTACATTAACCTAACTCTGCTGTAGAAGAGAGTGGCATGTTTCATTCTGGTAAAAAATTTACACTATATATTTATTATTTGCAATGCAGGTCTATAATTCATAATGCAAGAAAGAAAAGGAAAAAAAAAACCCCAAACCCTAACGCTTTCAAACTTTTCTAGTCTTGAATAATTGGTGAAAGTGGCAAGGCCCATTGCCAGGATAATTTTAAAGTCCTAGACTGGGGATGCTGCTCCTTCATGATATCAAACATTTTAAGGTCTTGTGCATCAAAGAGCCAACCCATCATTACAACTGTCACAAGTCCAGGCAGTCGAGAAACGCACTGGACAAAAGCTGTCACTGTTGGTGCACTGGCTTTGATCTGATGTGTGAACATGCGGTTAGCCTCCAGCTCTTTTAACGCAGGCATGCTATTAAGCGTTTTGAAGAAGTTTCTCCAACCAGTTTCAGTAACATCGTGGTTTACTGACAGTGAGAGCTGTTCAAGCTTCTGGAAACCTCCGCAGTTTGCAACCTTTGCTGCAAAAAATGAACAGGCATCAGTAAGGATTTAAAGATGCTCCAAACCCGTATGCAACATGGATAAAAATACAGTGAAGCTGAGGTATTGTACATTAAAAATACAGTAAGGTCGTTATTAGGTTGAAAAAGCTTAACTTTGAACTCATTTAAGCATTTTAATACCTCAGACTGAGGAGACTGGTAAAACAGAGGACGCTTTAGCTGGTGCATTAATGCCTAGTAGAACAAGATACCAGCGTGTTCATGAGTGTTTGAATACTGCTCTCACAGAGCAAAGCAAATACAACACCAGCTTGTGCAAACACTTGAGGTCAGACACCCGGCCAGCTTTGCACAAATGCAAGGTACTGGCTTTACCAGTCTCTTCCATGCCTGCGCACCATCCCACACAGGTTCTTCAGCCTGGCCTTATGGCCAGCCTGCTCAAAAGATGGGACTCCTGTCATCAACTCACTATAGAATCATAGAATCATTTAGGTTGGAAATCCTAAATGATGATCCCAATCCTTGGGATCATCAAGTCCAACCATCTACCCTACTCTACAAAGTTCTCCCCTACACCATATCCCCCAACACCACATCTAAACGATGCTTAAACACATCCAAGGATGGTGACTCAACCACCTCCCTGGGCAGCCTGTTCCAATTCCTGACTATTCTTTCTGTGAAAAACTCTTTCCTAATGTTTAGTTTAAACCTAGTCTGTTGTAGCTTGAAGCCATTCCCTCTCGTTCTGTCACTAATTACCTGTGAGAAGAGACCAGCACCAACCTCTCTACAGTGTCCTTTCAAGTAGTTGTAGAGAGTGATAAGGTCTCCCCTCAGCCTCCTCTTCCTCATACTAATCAGTCCCAGCTCCTTCAGCCACTAGGGCTTCATATGATTTGTTTTCCAGGCCCTTCACTAGTTTCGTTGCCCTCCTCTGCACTCGCTCCAGCACCTCGATATCTCTCCTGTATTGAGGTGCCCAGAACTGGACACAATACTCCAGGTGTGGCCTCACCAGTGCTGAGTACAGGGGCACAATCACCTCCCTACTTCTGCTGGTCACACTATTTCTAATACAAGCCAGAATGCCGTTGGCTTTCTTGGCCACCTGGGCACACTGCCGGCTCATATTCAGCTGCTTGTCAATTAGAACCCCCAGGTCTCCCAAATGCATGGGGTTGTTGTGGCCCAAGTGCAGGACCTGGCACTTGGCTTTGTTGAAGCTCATACTATTAGTGTTGGCGCGTCGATCCAACCTATCTAAGTCTCTCTGTAAAGCCTCCTTATCCTCATGCAGATCAACACTCCCGCTTACCTTGGTGTCATCTGCGAACTTACTGATGATACACTCTACATACTAACATGAATGTCAAAAATAAAGGAAGATGATATGACAGCCTTAGCGTTGGCTGATGAAGACATTTTCTCTATGCATGAGGTGGTAGCTCTAAGACTAGTACGTAGGTATTAAATTCGAGTTGGAAATAGGGAGTTTTAACAGCTAGGGCATATAAGCTATTATAGCAAGCAATGAAGTTATGAAGCTGTCTTTTAATTCAGTCTTTTTTCCCACTGATTACTTGTAATTTACACTGCTTTGTAGAAGACAAGGGGGACTAAGGAAGCATTTCAAAAGAGGTTTCAGCAAAGTAGCGTATAAGCAATCTGAATGCACTTTGATGAGCAAGAGATGTTCTGGACTGTGTGTAAACAGGAAGACATTACACCCATTAAAAGTGACAAATAATTTGCAATTGTTACCATGTATACAAACAGAAGGCTAATTTATCCTGAAGCAGTATCTTCTTTACTCAGAAATGCTGTTTCATGTTTGAAGTTCTCTCCTTTGAACTCACCTATTTCCAACAGGCTGTCATCGTCCAGACATAGGGTAAATGTGAAGTGTCTGAGGTGCAGCAGGTGTAGACACTGCTGAACAATCAGTTTGGCTGCAGACTTTATTCCCTTCCCTGCAGGAAGGATGAGCTCCTCCAGGTTAAGCAGAGCACCTAAACTGCATGCTGCATAGAGAAGAAGACAACTATAAATCTTGCAAATGCCAGTGAGTGACAGCAGCAGAGCCAAGTAACAAAACATTTAAATTTAGACCCTGGCAAATAGACTCGGGACAAATACTATCGGTTTTCTTTCCTCAATGGCCCCTGCCATTGTTGTGAAGGTTGCTTCACTCTGTAGTGAAAAACTCTTTCCTAATGTTTAGTTTAAACCTAGTCTGTTGTAGCTTGAAGCCATTCCCTCTCGTTCTGTCACTAATTACCTGTGAGAAGAGACCAGCACCAACCTCTCTACAGTGTCCTTTCAAGTAGTTGTAGAGAGTGATAAGGTCTCCCCTCAGCCTCCTCTTCCTCATACTAATCAGTCCCAGCTCCTTCAGCCACTAGGGCTTCATATGATTTGTTTTCCAGGCCCTTCACTAGTTTCGTTGCCCTCCTCTGCACTCGCTCCAGCACCTCGATATCTCTCCTGTATTGAGGTGCCCAAAACTGGACACAATACTCCAGGTGTGGCCTCACCAGTGCTGAGTACAGGGGCACAATCACCTCCCTACTTCTGCTGGTCACACTATTTCTAATACAAGCCAGAATGCCGTTGGCTTTCTTGGCCACCTGGGCACACTGCCGGCTCATATTCAGCCGCTTGTCCTCCACCAGGCAGCTTTCCAGCCACACTTCCCCAGGCCTGTACCAAATGCATGGGGTTGTTGTGGCCCAAGTGCAGGACCTGGCACTTGGCTTTGTTGAAGCTCATACTATTAGTGTTGGCGCGTCGATCCAACCTATCTAAGTCTCTCTGTAAAGCCTCCTTATCCTCATGCAGATCAACACTCCCGCTTACCTTGGTGTCATCTGCGAACTTACTGATGATACACTCTACATACTAACATGAATGTCAAAAATAAAGGAAGATGATATGACAGCCTTAGCGTTGGCTGATGAAGACATTTTCTCTATGCATGAGGTGGTAGCTCTAAGACTAGTACGTAGGTATTAAATTCGAGTTGGAAATAGGGAGTTTTAACAGCTAGGGCATATAAGCTATTATAGCAAGCAATGAAGTTATGAAGCTGTCTTTTAATTCAGTCTTTTTTCCCACTGATTACTTGTAATTTACACTGCTTTGTAGAAGACAAGGGGGACTAAGGAAGCATTTCAAAAGAGGTTTCAGCAAAGTAGCGTATAAGCAATCTGAATGCACTTTGATGAGCAAGAGATGTTCTGGACTGTGTGTAAACAGGAAGACATTACACCCATTAAAAGTGACAAATAATTTGCAATTGTTACCATGTATACAAACAGAAGGCTAATTTATCCTGAAGCAGTATCTTCTTTACTCAGAAATGCTGTTTCATGTTTGAAGTTCTCTCCTTTGAACTCACCTATTTCCAACAGGCTGTCATCGTCCAGACATAGGGTAAATGTGAAGTGTCTGAGGTGCAGCAGGTGTAGACACTGCTGAACAATCAGTTTGGCTGCAGACTTTATTCCCTTCCCTGCAGGAAGGATGAGCTCCTCCAGGTTAAGCAGAGCACCTAAACTGCATGCTGCATAGAGAAGAAGACAACTATAAATCTTGCAAATGCCAGTGAGTGACAGCAGCAGAGCCAAGTAACAAAACATTTAAATTTAGACCCTGGCAAATAGACTCGGGACAAATACTATCGGTTTTCTTTCCTCAATGGCCCCTGCCATTGTTGTGAAGGTTGCTTCACTCTGTAACACAATAGCTTGAAAAGCTATTTCATCAACAGAAAAGGCAGGACTATTCCAGAAAGGGTCTAAGAGGTCTCATAGTCCTCATAGAGTCCTCTAGAGACAAAAGAAATCTTTGATGCTGCCAGACTCAAGGGACCCAGGGAAAAGAAAAATAAATTAGGGTAATTCTCCCCAAAATGCAGGCCTTTTCAATCTTTCTCTGTTCCCTATAGACATGGCTGTTGCAGGAGGCCCATCTTGGCTTTCAGAGGTGCTGAGCACCTCTGATTCCAAGTTGAGGACAGCCATCCATCTCACTCAGCTCATCTCTCTCGGGAGGTGAGCACATGCCCCGCATCCCGAACTGCTTTGTGAGATCCAATTTAACATTCTAGTTCGAGATAAGACACTCTGCCATTTCTCAGGTGGCTTTTAAGCTGTTCAAGTTATTTCTTATGATCTCCAAAAGAACCTGAAACAACATAATTCTGTCAAATGCAACAAATGAGATCAGCCGAAAGGAAAGATAAATACAAACCAAAAGTTTTGCAAGCTTCATTGTCATCAAAACATTGGTCTCCAAGGTTCAACAGTTTGAGAGAGAGAAAATTGGGCAGGGCAGTACCTAGAAGGAAGCAAAACAAAAGGTATAATGTTATTCTTGGAACTTAAAATTAGCAGCTTCTCTCAACTACTAAGTTTTAAAAAGTGAGTTTTCTGTATTTAAAAAAATAAAATCCTACCTAAAGATAGCAAATCTCCATCTCTCAAAAATGACCCAGTTAACTTGATTTCTGTTAATTTCTTGCATGAAGAAAGTGCTGCCAGAAGGGATTCAGAATTGAAGTAGCTGGAGCAGTTCAGGTGAAACACAGAGAGGTCTTGGAAGCTCTTAATAAATTCAACTACAAAACAAAATGGTGCAACACCAGAGAATCACTGTATAGTGAACAAAGGTTTCAAAAATCAAGAAGGGTCTCCTAGCTCCACCTGCGAACTTTACTGTGGAGGGAAGCATCCTCCACCACAACTAAAGCAAGTGAGACAGGTAAAAAGATGGATGGGAGCTGCAGCCTGATTCCTCTGCTTACCTGTTAAAATCAGATGGCCTGTAATCATGGTGGATCATTCTGACCTCAAAATTCAAGCAAGTTTTGTTAAAGAATAATTTCTAGTTTATTTCACATGTGAAAAATACCCTCCTTTTAATTTAGCAGGACTGAAACTTTTTGAACTCCTTTCACCTGAAGTTACTAGTTTTAGCTACATTGTAAAGCCCTATCCAAGGGCCGGGTATTGAGGTGGCAGTTCACTGGATGATGTTGGTTTGTGCGGTAGCAGCTGGGTAATCATTATCATTGTGTACAAAACATGGTTTTACAGGGACCCAGAACTGAAAAGTAAGCTTCTTCCTGGAAAAAAGGCAGCTAAAACAGAAGTCATGACCCACTCTGACAGGGCAGCTGTACACATGATCTGGATGCAGCTGCTCCCTCTCTTCTTCCTCCCAGTGGACTGTGAGTGGTGAGGAGGAAAAATACTCACTCCAGGAAAAAAAGAGCACAGTCCTGCTCATTCCTCCATACTAACTTACAGCACTGAAAGGTTCAGCTCCTCTTTATTTTGTTGGGGTGCTAGACTCAAGGTAGAAGCTGTAGGGCAGAAGCAACAGGAAGAGAACTCAGTGATACTAGGTGTCTGTTAAAGGAGAAGTTAAAACTGCTACTCAGTATTAACAAGTTCTAGTGGAATATAGTACCTCAAGTTTTAAAGTTCACCTTACCCAGCCTAGAGCTGTTATCAAGCTTCATTCTTCTTATCAACAATTTCTTCATGTTACGGAGATTTTTGAAGCCATCAGGTATTGTATCAAATATATCGCAGTCCTCACATTGGCTCACGGACAGTTCCTCCAGGCAGACAAATTTGTCCAAATTTGAATAAAGGAGCTCTGTGGTGAAGCCAGACAAACGTACAATTAAACTGGGTTGATCTGCTTAATGCCTCGGTTCTTCTGACAATTTGCCAAGGTTTTTGCCAACCCCCCTGCCAAAGCAGGGCCACCTGGAGCAGGTTGCACAGGAACATGTCCAGGCGGGTTTTGAATGTCTCCAGAGACGGAGACTCCACTACTTCTCTAGACAGCCTGTTCCAGGGCTCTGCCACTCGCAAAGGAAAGAAATTCTTCCTCATGTTTAGATGGAGGAACTTCTTATGTTCAAGTTTGTGCCCATTACCTTTTGTCCTACCACAGGGCACCACTGAAAAAAGACTGGCCCCATCCTCTTGTCATCCACCCTTTAAGTAAGTATTTATAGGTGTTGATCAGATGCCCCCTCAGTCTTCTTTTCTCCAGACTAAAAAGACCGAAGTCCCTCGGCCTTTCCTAATAAGAGAGATGTTCTAGTCCCCTAAGCACCTTTGTAGCCCTCTGCTGTCCCCTCTCCAGCAGTTCCCTGACCTTCTTCAACTGGGGAGCCCAGAAGTGGACACACTCTTCCAGATGGGGCCTCACAAGGGTAGAGTAGATAGGCAGGATGACCTCCCTTGACCTGCTGGTCACACTCTTCCTGATGCACCCTAGGATGCCATTGGCCTTCTTGGCCACAGGGACACGTTGCTGGCTCATGGGCATCCTGCTACCCACAAGGACTCCCAGGTCTTTCTCCTCAGAGCTGCTCTCCAGCAGGGCAGCCGCCAACCTGTACTGATGGATGCAGCCTACACTGGCCCTTGTTGTACTTCATCAGGTTCCTCTCTGCCCAGCTCTCCAGCCTGTCTAGGTCTCACTGTATGTGAACACAACCTTCTGGTGTGTCAGCCACCCCTCCCAGTTTTGTATCATCAGCAAAATTGCTGAGGGTACATTCAATCCCTTTATCCAGATCATTGATGAATATATTGACCCCAGGCAAAAAATGCACATCTGTCCTCCATACTGTACTGTCCTCTGCTGAAGTGCAATTCTGCCTCTTTAGTGACATACACCTCCTTTAGATCAGTATTGAGGTCAGTCTGAAATTAGGGGGACAGGATGGAAATCTATTAATGCAGAATGGCTGCCTATCCCCTGAAATGCATATGGAAGAAGACAGCCTTAACTATTCATGGATATGGAGCTACTCAGTTGTCAGGCACCAATGGGAGAGAAAGGAAAAGGGAACTAAGGAGAAAAATCACATTCTGCCAAAATTCAGTATGCTGTACCTGGCATTTCTTTTTCGTCTATCTCAAGACATTCCACAGAAGACAATGAGAGAAGTAATTCTTGCTCTGCTATACTCAAGTTAAGATGACGCAGGCTACACTTTTTAAAGTGTTCCTTACACGGTTCAATAGCAGGTCGGATAACTTCTATGAATCCGGGACAGTGACTCAGCTTAAGTTCAATGTACTCTGAAGCAGAAAACAGTGTAGTCAAATTTCTGAGGTCAGCTTCCTGAAAGGAACTGATGTTTGTGAAAGTACATTTTAAAAGCGGCATCTTCCCTGTTGTATGTAGGAAAGGACACACCATGTTGTCTGGTAGATGTCTTTGGATCAGTGAAAAAAATCTATTATTTTCTTCTTCTCCCTTTTTTATATTTTGCGCCATGTCATTAAAACATGTAAATGCAGGAGCATAATCCCGGTCAATTGTTGGCATCTCCAGAGAAGAATAGCAAGCACCTATTTCAGCTGTATTAAGTTCTTGTTTGGGCTCACTTCCTTGTACTGAAACCTCAAAACTACTGGGTAGAGACAGCGATTCTGGGTAATCCTGGAAAAAACGCCACTGAGAATTGTGTGTTGACATAAATGAACTTAACAAAACATCTGTGCCTCTTAGGAACTGAAAAATGATTGGGGCACACAGAGAGACAGTATTACTCTTATAAGCTACAGAAATAGCAAAGTCAAGTAAATACTGAGTGAATAATGGAAGAAGCGCTTTTGGATTAATAAAACTTAACTGGTCAATTAATAACATTCTTAGTGGAAGGTCTGAATGGTGCTTCAGATGTTCGTCATTTTCTGACTGGTTTTCCAATGATTCCTTGCAGTCAATCAATTTAAATAAATAGGATATAATTCTGGGGACTGGTTTGGAAGAGAAACTGCAAGTGTAACCCAATAAAAAATTATAGCGCCCAGCAACTTTTCTAAATGTGTTGATTTGCTGCAAGTACTGCATCCCTTGCTCCAGTTTTTCTTCTTCTTCAGAAACCAGGAGCTCGTTCAGTCTTCTTCCTGCAAGAAACTCCTGGAACAAGGGGTGAAAGAACTTATAAACTGGATGAAGCCTCTGTGCAGTAAATTTGCTCAGTAAATCCAGCCTAACAGCTTCATCTCCATCGACTCCTGCTTCAGCCAGATCACGCTCAGTGAAATCAAAGGATGGCTTGAAAAGACCAGCTAAGGCAAGCTCACCACATGAGGAAAACATAGCCAGTACGTGTTCTGTTTCTTCACTGTATTTTAGTAAGTGATAGAGCAGATAGGCTTTAAAAATAACCTCATGGCTGACTATGTTGCCCTTTGGGTGCTGTACCCAATACGCAGCGAGAGACACCGTAAAAAGCGGCGTCTTTAGAATGGTCTGCATAGACTGTTCAAACTGCAGCTTTACAAGAAACTGGTTCACGAGGTCAATATTGTAGGAGAACAACTTCCTTAGTACATAGATAGCACTGGACAGAGGGAACTCTGCAATGGTTAGGGTGGTGCTTGCGTACTTGCGGATTTCTCTTGTCCTGCTGGTGCGGACAGCAACAACCAAACAATGCTGGTAGAGATGGTTCCTTTGTATAAGTTCTTCTATAGGTTGGGGCACTGAATTGATGTCACTGTAGTCATCCAAAAGAAATAGGACCTGGTTTTTCAGTGGCTGAATTGTGTCTCTGAGAGTTTTCTCTGTTAATGGTCCCGCAAATCCTACTCGTTGATTGCATATGATATCAGCCATGCTCTGATCTGGTCTTGCATAAGTCAGGGAGAGATAAAATACAAACTTAAACCTGCACAGAATGGGGCAGCAGCCTGATGCCCAAAGCAGAGCTATCTTCCTGAGCAACGCTGTTTTTCCACTTCCTGCTTCACCTTCCAGCACAATGGTAGAGTTAAGGTTTGCAAGGATTTCATGAAGAAAGAGCTGCTGTATTGGCTGGTCATTAATATCCTTTGAGACAATTGATAGGTCCCCATAGAGTAACTTCAAGTCAATAGCCAGATGGTTTGAGTTCCCAAAGGAAAACAATTTGCTGAAGCTGTTATCATTGTAAGCCTTTGTAAGTTGTTCGGACAAGTTCCTTGCCTCTTGAAAACGCTGACTTTCAACTGATGTCATGTCTGCAAAAAGGATAACGTTAAGTAATAAAACCTAGTGAACAGCTGATTCTGTGCACAAAAAATCAAATAAAGTCAACTGTCCATTAAAACGGAATAACCAGAACCTGAATTTTTCTAGATAACGGGAAAAAATGGTATCACTTCTGGATAAACCAAGTTCCCACACTTTCTCTCTGTCCTAGTCAGTTGCCTTTGTACCCACCTGTTTTAATGTAGGGTTAGACTGTGTGTATCAAGTAATCAAGTGATAAACTTGAGGTAAAAAGCTTTGCTGGAGCTGACCTAGCTCTGTGCAGAGACTCGCCAGTGTCTCAGTGCAATGGGGTAGCCTTCCATGGACTGGAAAGAATAATTAGTGTAGATCCAGCACTGCATCAATAAAAACCTCAATTGCCAGCCTCACAAGCAGGCTCAGAGAGTTGTGACAACACATTTATATAGCAGCATGCAGACAAAATAGTGCTAAACTTGACCTAAACATCCTTTCTGGACCCACATTATCTTCCTACAGAACTGCCAAGTCTCTGCACCATACTGTCTAAAGCTGTGGCTCTGCCAGGGTCCCTAAGTTCTAGTACAGAGCACTGATTCTGTATAGAGACAGCTCTGTTGTCTGTGCCCATAGTACAGTTTATCTACAACATAGACAATCTGCCTCAAAATAAACGTGTGGGGGCTGTACTTGGGTATTTCTGAACAGCTGAGGTAAGTAAATGTACTTCTGCATTGATGTAATTATACAGTTGTGCAGTGTATGTCTTGCCAAAAACCCCCACAGTAATCTGTTAGCTCAAATAAAGCAGTTCCATTTTATTCTTCGCATATTCAGCCGAAGTACAATGAACCCCAGAAATGCTCACTGGCTCTTACTGCACTTCACTGAGAGACGACACCAGTGAGCTCTGTTTCTGAGGAATTTCAGACAAGACAGGGCATGTTGATGCCATAGCCCGACAAACTGGGACTTCCTACCAGAAACAGACCCAGTCACTCTCAGTGAAACAGAGACACACATCTTGGTGAATACAAAGAATAAACAAACGTCTTCATTAATAAACTGGCAATTTTATTGTTCCCTCCACCATTGAAAACTAGTATTATGCTTTCAGAGCTCAAAAATGTGCTCTTAGTGCCTTCAAAAGTTACAAAACTGCTCCATCTGATACATACATCCCCAAATAATTTTGGCATTTCTGGGAGGCAGCAATAGTTGTTTTCAGATTAACATAGGGCTGCTAAAGAGAGCATCTGGGCAGCACTGCTATAGCAAATTTACTTTTGAGTTATCAACTCTGTGCTTGCATATCAGTACTGTTCTGCAGCAATTTAGTGCAAACTCCTTTGTGTGTGAACTCTTCCCTCAGAAATCCACACATATTTATCAAGAAAACTGCCCCCCCTTGAGCTGGGCCATAGTATTTGGGAAAAGGAAGCATCAGAAGCAAAAGATAGTGGAAGGTTATCTCTACTAGTTTCTTCTGTATCTAAAAGCACGTCCATATAATATGTAGCATGCAGCTGATATACATTTGCAATTTTCCAAAACGTGAATGAAAAAAAAATCATACTGTATTGTCACGAAATAATTTAGTTTGCTTATATGCCTCATCTGCAGAGAAGTGTCTTTCACCTGCTAAGGGATTGGTTTATATTCACATATTACAATAGCAAGCAGTAGCCAACAGATTCTCTACTATTTATTGTCCCTATATGTGGGCAATCCATAAATCCTAACTCAGTCCTTATTTCAACGAAAATTTTGTCTTACTAAGTAAGGGTCAAATCCAGAAAAGCTTTAACAATCCTCTTGAATTAAAATGTAAATTCAACACCACCATCCTTTCACGTGAGGCTGCAGCTCACAGTACTTACCAGCTCCTTCAGAATGTAGGGTTGCTTTCTCTTCAAGATTTGGCTTAGAGGGAGTTTGCTAGAACAAAAGTAAATCCAGTTATACTCACTTAAATATGTATTATTTAGTTCAAACTGAGTTGCTTGGGTACCAGCAAGTACCAGCAGCTACAAGGATGATTTACAATACGTGCAGTACTGGCTCTGTATTTTTTAACATGAGTAAAATCCTTTGGATCCTCCCAGAAGCAGGACCTCAGCCATAATGATCTTTATCTCTCTCTGTCTTCCCTGAAGATTCTTCCATCCCAGGGTTTTGCTGCATACCTAGCTAGGATACAAGGCCCAGCTCTGATGTGGCATGGACACATAACCTTGGCGCAGATTGATGAGGGAAACCCATGAGACAGCCTGCAGAGATGCAGGGAAGATGCCACTATGGGCTCTCCTAATGCTTGGGAAAACTGTACTTTTAGGATACTCTAGTGTCTGAATTTGTGATGATACTTACTTTATAGCCAGCTGTGGTGCGCAGGTTTCAAGGTCTCGGTGTTTCGAGCCTTACCAGCTGTGAGGGTGAGGAGGAGCAAGACCCAGGCTGGCCAACGCGCTTATTTCATACCATGAACGTCACAATATAAATTAGAAAGTTTGCTGGGGAACTCTCTCCCTCCCCTGATGGTGGTGGTCCAGAGAACTCCTTGCCTCTGGACACCTGAGCTCCTCCCTTCCTCCCAAGCTGTAGCGCTGGCAGCGTCCCACATTTGCTGTCCCCTGCTGGGAGTGAATCTTCCTATTGAATTGGCTGAGTATAATCCTTGTGTATTTTATACTGGGATCAATATGGGTTCTTTAGTATCATTGATGCTAATTATCTAGTCTTACTCTATTAAGTCTGTTTATATCTCAACCCTTGAGTTTCCTTGGTTTTTCCAATTCCCCTTCCTGGGTGGGGCAGGGTCATGGGTCAGAGAATAACTGTCTAAGTGACAATAAATTGTTGTGCATTCCTCAAGCCATAACAGTGACACATACCCCGCTGCCTGTTCAGTGACCTCTGAAATGTGGTGCGCTCTAAAGCTTGTCTGGGATGAATCACCGCAAAGAGCTGCTTGTTCTGTCATGTACAACTGCAAAGCACGAGTATTGATCCACTAACAGCAAATACTGCCAAAGAGCACAAACCTGTGAGGGCTGTGACGTCGATAGGCTCTCTGGCTGCTCTTCCAGTGACTTCCCAAGTACTTCCAAGCAGTTGGAACTAGAATGGTGTTTCCAAAAGACACAGCAGTTGGCGCAGTGCATTACTTCAGTTGCTTACATTTGGCAGAAAGATGGAACTATTTCACAAGCTATCCTTTCTTTTGGAAACTTCTACTGTATTTCTGTATTTAAACATTGATCTAAAAAAATGGGGTTTCACAGAGGTACAATGCTCTATACACTCAAGAAACATACAGTTATTTATATACATTTACAGTAACATTAAAAAGAACAACAGCAAAAGTCTATAGTAACTTTCATTGCACAGCAGGAAATTGTCTTAGACAAGATACTCTGTCACTCACTCTGGGAACCATTTTGCATGACCCTCCACAGGATCTTCACCCTCTTTCCATTTGTGTAAGCAACCTCCACAGTTGAAGCACTGCACCTTATCGCCTTCTCCTGCAAGCAGGAAATTATACACCTCGAAAATGGCCAAGTACATGATTTCTTTCCTTACTAACTATGTCAGCAACATAAAAACTGCAACAATGCAGTTGTTTCATGAGTTTACTTCAGTGGCCTCTGTTACTGGAATTACATGCTTTTTAAATGACAAAAATAATAAAAATTAAATGAAGGAAAAGTAAATCCCACGGAATTGAGAGATGTGCCATTATTGTTCTTTAAATGACACCAACCAAATGAATATACAAATAGCCAGATAAATGCTTTCTCCTTTCCGAAAACATATCCTCCTTCCAGCTCTTTGCTCTGACTGTCACCTCATTCCATTTCGCTTCCCCTGCTCTAGCTTTTGGAAAAGCCTTTCTGATTTTGCCTCTGCATTCCTCCCCTCACTGAAAGCTATAGCAAGATTTTAATTAGGTAGCAGGATATCCTCAGCCTCTGTCCCAGCTGCTTTGGAAAGTGAATCTTTTACTTGTCGTGTGTTTATATAGCTAACAAACTTGGTTCAAACCTGTGTAGAAAAACCCGGCTTTCGCAAGAGCAGTGGCTTCAACACAGGCTTCTGCTGGCCAAGTTTTAAAAGAGTCCAGTCGAACTCCTTCATCCTCAAAGATGTTCAAGACAAGATCACCTTGCAACCAAAGATATTTGATTAGTCAGGAAAGTTTTAACTATCAGATTCTCCAAAGCAAGAATAGAACTAAATTGCAAATACCCAAGGCTTACAAGCAAAACAAAAACACGCCTACAGAACTGTATCTTTCAGACAATTATAAATGTATATTCTTGTAGTTATAGTATAGATTAAAATCTATGTTTTTCTTTCAAAGCCTTCATTTGTTTTTCACTTCTTTCTTACACAGGCAAATGTAAGTGAGATAGATCTACTTAAGCAGCCTGTTTTATATTTAGGTTTTATAGAGAACAAATTTTTACTTGCGGTAAAAATTTAAGAAATACAGAAGCAATAGTCTTTTACACATGTAATCTTGCTTCAGAAAGAAAAGAAACAGTCTTGAGCAGCTTTCATTGTTAATGGTGATATACAATAAAAATATGAAGGCATTATTTTCTAATGTAAAGCTAACAGTCGGTATATTCTATTCTTTTACCTGTTGCGGTAGACAAATTCTCCTTGATGAAGGAAGCTGTGAAATGCCTCCCCTGAGCAGAAAATTAAAAATTAATACTTATTTCTATTATACATTCTATTTTCATTTCACTCTTCAGGTAAATGAAACAAATAGCTATAGTACATAAACAGGGCTAGTACTAAGTATCAACATTTTAAACAACTTCAGTGTGAGAGAGAGAACTTTCTGAAACAAAATTGACAAATGACAATTTACTATTAATGAGAAGAAATGGCTCTCCTCAGACAGTAGCATCTCTAGGGAAAGAAAGATAGCACTGATGCTCTTAAAATATCTAAGATGGTGTTTTCCATAAGATACTTGCAGTCATCTCCATCAACTAGGGGGGTTAGCTTCCAGATTTTTTGAGATTTTTTAGGGCCAGGGGTTTTAATCATGAAAGACCTTACATGTATATTTTTTCTGATGAAAACAAATCCTTCAAACAAAGATGTAGTCATACAATAAGAGCTGGCAGGGTAAGGTTCACCTAACCTGACTTCAGCCATGCAGAAGTGCTTAGTTTAGCATGATCACTTATAATCTTCCTAATAATTAATTAATACATATAGGTGCCATGAGGAGTTAATTCATCCATATTCCTTCAAGTAGGATAAATACCATTAGAGGTATGTCACTTTTCATCAGTGGACTACCTAGGTACTGCCTATGCAAACAGCTTGGATGCATGCATCAAAATAAACTTACATGAAACAAATCACATCTAGAGTGCATAGTCTTAATTACAAATGCCATTATACACAGCTTTTGGGTTGCTGGGGTTTTTTTTAGAAGAAAGAGGCTGAACATCAGGATCGAGGCCTAATTTGCCTATCTTCAAGTCCTGGATAATGCCTGCTTGGGGTATATTCCATGATAAAGGTAGACAGAAATGGATAACAAGATTACCACCACTCCAGAAAATCCACTGTAGGTTTCAATGTACTGTTTAATTTCCTCACTTGATTTCTTACTTTGGAGGAATTCACACCTATTAAAAAAAAAAAACAAAACCACCCCCAATCATCATTCCTAAGCATTAATTCCAATTAAAATTCTGCGAGCAGAGTTTCAGTTACTAAGAGGTGCATACTCAGGATTTTCACAACAGAAAGATGATGAAACAAAGGCAAATGATTCAGTGCCATCGGCATTGTTCATGCAACATAGTGACTATCTAAGAGAATAATCAGCTGACTTTTGCCTAGTGGAAAGCCCATGGAGATCTTTAGAAAGTATGCAAAACAATATACATAGATCATTCCTAAGCATTAATTCCAATTAAAATTCTGCGAGCAGAGTTTCAGTTACTAAGAGGTGCATACTCAGGATTTTCACAACAGAAAGATGATGAAACAAAGGCAAATGATTCAGTGCCATCGGCATTGTTCATGCAACATAGTGACTATCTAAGAGAATAATCAGCTGACTTTTGCCTAGTGGAAAGCCCATGGAGATCTTTAGAAAGTATGCAAAACAATATACATAGAATAATTATAAGGTTAGGGTTAGCAGACTTATTCTGTTCACTTCTCAGAAATAAAGATCTGCTGAAATCAATTGTCTGAGTGTAACAACCTTGAAGACAAAGATGTGGGGTTTTTTGTTTGTTTGTTTTGCAGCATTGTTACTGGGAAAAAAAAAGAAATATCAACACAAATAAACCTTTTTCTACATACAGAAATATTTCTAGGACAATCAGTCAACTTACTCAGGAAACCATTTAGCGTGTTCTCTCCAAGGATCATCACCATCTTCCCAATTTCCCAGACATCCACCACAAGCAAAACACTGCACTGTGTCTTTCTTGCCTGCATGTAGAGAGTTACAGATCTCAGAGGTATTCATACATTTGTCTGTTTTACTTGCTTACACTCTAGCCACGCTATCATGAGTGTATCAGTGTATATCATTGCTCCAAAATTTGTAGATAAGGGAAGCCTTTTTCTTAGTTTATAGCATTTGAATCAAAAAAGGTTTATCAAACTGTTTGGATTTCCAGTTAATTTCAGATGGGTCAGTCTGGGTCTAAACTTGGTGCAGATCCAAGAGTGAAAATATAAGCTAGATCTTTCCATCAAAATAAAACTTCAGAAGTACCTGAGAATTTGCACAGGCTTGATAGAATAAACTTGTCTTTTTTGTTGTCTTTTTTTTTTTTTTTTTTTAATTTTGAGTTCTAGCTAGTCAGTTTATTTGTAAAAGTTAAGTAAATTAATAACCCTGGAAACCAATGGAATAAGGTGGGAGAAATAGAATTTTTGTCCCTAAATCAACATACTGATAGTTGGCATAAACGTCATGAAAGAAAGACAGGTCAGTCAAGTGCTGTGATGCCAGTATATAAAATATTCAGGGAAAATTGATTAAACAGTGCTAGAAGGAAAAGGAGTATCAGATCTTAATGATATCTTAAAACAAAATCAAACTAACCAACGGAAAGCAAAGATTTTCTACAGACTGGAATTTCAGGCCTCTGTTGGAATAATACAGTTCTTGGTCCATGCTACTGGCCAACCAAGCAGGATGAGAAAACTGGGCACGTAATGCTTGAAGAAATGAGGGAGGCTCTGTGGGCAAAAAACAGAATTGTACCCAAAGACTCCAGTTATCCCTCAAGGGGACTGCACAGATACCACCTCGGGATGCAAAGCAGAGAGGGCTTTTTCTTTTTTTTTTTTTTTTTTTTTTTTTTTTTTTTTTTTTTTTTTTTTTTTTTTTTTTTTTTTTTTAAGAGACTATTGGGCATAACTTGGTGGGGCAGCTGTTGAGCAAGATGATGTGACTTAGTATTGAGAAATCTGCTGGGAAGAGGTCGAAGTCTCACAGTGGAAGTGTCACTGTGCAACCATGATTGTAATTTACTTAGACACAACATCCCCCAGAGAAACAGGGAACCTACTAAGGCTGTGTGAAACTTCAAAAACAGGAACTATGCAAAGGTAAGGAAGTTGAAATGGCTGACTAAATAAAGGCAACCAATACAAAAAAACACGCACAAAACCAATCCCTTACAGGCATTTGAGAATTTCCCAAAATACTCTTTACTGGAAGAGCGACACCAGTATGTGCTACGTATTGCAAAAAACTCATGAAAAGTTACAGGAAATGAGTATGGCTGACAGGAAAATAAAGCAGACTACAAGAATTAAGAAAGTATCATTCAAAAAGCTGGAGCTTTTGAGCAAAGAAAACAGAAGGCTCAAAATCTCTGGAGATGGGATAGGGAAAAAAGAATCAGGCAGGCTGGGGAAAACCCAAAAAAAATCCAAGATTAACAACTTAAAGTAATCTAAACCTTTTTCTAGATAGGAGGAGCAAAACAGAAAAGTGGAGACAGCTGGTAAAGCCAACTGCTAACCAGGCTGTAAAGGAACCATCCAAAGGGGACAATGCAATTGCAGAGGACTTGAAGTGACATTCTCTGCAATATTTGCATTAACGTCCACTGCAGAAGAATTCAGGGAGATTCCCACTGTCTTAACCAGTGGGGCCATACTGCAGAAGGCGCATCCAAAATCAAAGTAATTATGCAATAGATTATGGCTGAGTGGAGGAAATGTAATGCCAATCTTTAAAAAGCAGTCTGCCCCTTTGGGGGAGCAGAAGAGACATCAGATCTGTAAGACCAGCATCTGTTACAGAAAAATAAGTGGAAAAGGGGTAATTATGCCACTGCACAAATCCACGATTAACCCACATCTTAAACAGTGGGTGTGATTGAGGTCTTCTCGGCTCAGAAAGTACTGTATTAGAATAGGAAAAGGGACAGGGAACAGCAGCAATTGATGATCAAAAATGTGGAACACCTTCCACCTGAGGAATGGTTGAGTTGCCTATGTTCTTCAGCCTAGGAAAGAAAGCATTCATGGGGGATAAAATACATTACAAAAGGGTGAGTGGCATGAAAAAAGATGTTATACCCATTCTAGTATTGTAGGTAGTCTTGCACCGTTTTATGAATCAAAACAGCCATCCCTCCAAGCATCACTTCCAATTACCTGTAAAGAAAAATCCAGCTCTGGCAAGCGAATCAGGCTTTGCTCCTCTGGCATAGAACGGCCACCTCTCAAAGGACTGCAGCCTCGCGTCCTCGGTGCTGTACCTGTAGATCTCTTCTGCTGGATCCTCCTCCAACCTCTTAACACGCACATCGTACTTTGAAATATTCCCTGCCTCTTTGCCCAGGACAAAGTCACAAGTGGGAGAAAATTTCTTGTGCTGTTCGTATGGGGTGCATCTAATCTTCGTGGCGAATAGAACTAATCCACAGCAAAAACATTGCACGCTGTGTTTAACGAGTGTGTGATAAAACCCAGCAGCTGCCATTTCTGATGGAGACCATGACGAATAGGTCTTGTAGGACAAGAAGGACTTCAGTCTGTTGTGTTCGTTTCTCATGGTAGGGTTGTAGCTCTTTGGCAGCTGCCTACGGATTTCCTGAAATTCTGCCTCCATGTCCTTGGCAAGTTTGTGGATATTAAGGGCTGTGTACGGGAGAAGAGCTTGAACTGCAGAAGAATTCAGCTCACATATTTCATTGTCACTCGCCTCTGCTGCAGGGTCCTCTTTGGCAGACATTTTCTAAAAAACCAAGAAAGACTACCAAACTTTATTACCCACATCTTTTAGATAACATTTAGTCATCACATCTGCTACCTCAATAACAAGGTTTTTACAGGTTATAAACACTTGATCTCACCTTCCTAAGAATGGATAAGGTACCTGGAGAGGTGATATAAACAGGTGTATTATAAATCTGAATAGCCAAACTGAGACTTCTGTGAACTCTGATTGACCACTGCCCTTATAATGACAATAGGAAGTACCCTGAAGCCTTCACAATCAAAACAGGTGAGATTTGAGCAAGATGACACAGATCAGCGGCAGATTCTGCAGCTTGAAAACCTAGAACAGCCTCAGTAAACCAACGCTCCTCGATCACGTCAGTTCCTCCATCTCAAATCCATGGCTGTTGCTAGCACACTTTGAATTTCTCCTTAAATTAGAAAAAGAACCTGAGGTGGCAAAACATACAGTGCCAAATGAAAGGTGGGAAGTAGAAGTGAGAAAATTACTTAAAAAAAATCAGAGCAAGCAATTGTTTTACTGCAGAATTTTTAAATTTAAAGTTTTCAGTATAAGTAGCGACTAGCAGGAATTGCATGAAAATGAACATCATCATGAACATCATCATGAACATCTCAAAGTTAAATTCATTTGGCAATGAAGTTTATTGTGAAACGCATACTGTCAATACTTCTAATGAAGTGGTTTTACTAAATGTTTATTAAATATATTTACAGTAGTCTTCTCAAATATAGCTTATCTTGCAGCAGTAACAATTGTTATTATTAGCACTGTGGCAAGACAACCATAGGAAATGTGTTGCTGTGCGATGGTTCAGAACGCAGCAAACGTGTCTACAGTTCAACTCCACATAGTTAAGTTTGTTTTTTCAAATCACTGAGGGATCTTAAGAGATTTACAACATTCACCAAGCAAATTCATCCTTAAGAAAGTGACTCTAAATCCAGAATCTCCAACCTGTTGTTCTTACTCTTTTTCACTGGTTATAAAAAAATCACATTCTTCTCTCATAGGAAAATGTGTGCGAAACAATTTAAGGGCTTTCAAATCCCAAGGCAAAAAGTGCTGCAACAGTGGTAAAAGTCTTCAAGTTCTGTTGTATTTTGAAAAATTACTTTCATAATTGCACTACAGGCATCACATTTCTTTTTCCTAAATGTGGAAACCCGATTCTCATTCAAATCTGATTACTTTTTAAAATAAAATTGATCTACTCTCACTCCTTCAGCCAGGAGCTTGTGCAATCCAGCAATGCTTCAGAGATAGTACTTTCTGACATTTTTTTCATCCACAAGCTACATCACAGTCTAGAACTAAAACGGTTCCTCCTGTTGCCTGAGACAGAGCAGGACGCCACGTAAGTTCTTCAGGAGTTGCAGCTGTTACACAGAACGAAAACCAGACATTTCTTTTACTCACATTTTAATTAATAGTTTTTTAGCACTTCCAGTCTGGGAAATTAGGTAGGACTGTTAATAACAGAGGGTAGCTTTTATTCCTGCCAGGAAAGTATAAAGCAGACAGTAGAGCAAGGGCACCCACCTTTACGAAGTCCCCCTCACTCCGCACAGCGGGGGGGGCTCCCGGTCTCACTGTCCCCTTCAGTCTCCAACCTCTGGCCACGGGTTGTGTCCTCAACCTCACCACAGGGTGCTTTTGGCTTCTTGTCGCTTCCTTCCATGCTTTATGGCCAAAATGTATTAGGCAACATTTTCAGGAAGTAGAAGAATTTGTCACATGCCTGCTAGTAACCTCGCTGATTGACTAATCTTGTGGCAGGTCCCGTGAATAAGAAAATACAGCAACGAGAGTTAAGCAGGTGGCAGCTTCCCACAAGAAAAGAAGACTTGAGATCTGGTGAATCCCAGTCAAACGCTACAGATGAAGGAAGCATTTCCTCCACGCTGACTTAAATATGAAGACCACACCTGAAATCCTTTACACATCAGAGAAACGTTCCCAACAGTGATTCTTTGAACTGTTCTTCCTATCCACTGAGAAGGGCAGAAAAGTACAAGACACATCATTACTCAGACCACAAGCAGAAAATGGAATATATGGCTACCGTTTCCACTTCCAAGAATGTTATTTTGGCATCCAGCAAGAGAAAAAGCTAGAAGAGATTTGAAGTGTTTTAACAAAACCCTTCTTTTTTTTTTCTCTTTTTTTTTTTTTTTTTTTTTTTTTTAAAAAAAAAAAAAAAAAAAAAAAAAAAAAAAAAAAAAAAAAAAAAAAAAGTTCTAGGAAAAATTTTTTTTTTTTTTTTTTTTTTTTTTTTTTTTTTTTTCCATTAGGAAATGCTGACTGTGAAGTTGAAAATATCATCAGGAAACCATTCTACCAAGATGTTGTCACCAGTATCAGAACATCTAACAGCCAGACGCTTAGGGCATTTCTTTGGCTTGGAATGGCCTACTAGACCATTCCCAACTCTGCTAATATGTCCTTTTCCTGCTGTTTTTTAGGACACCCTTACAGTAACAGGCACTGCAGTCACCTGACAGCCCACGTGGTTTGTAGGGATTGTTTGACTCAGCACAAAATGAAACACAGACGCTGAAACAGTCATTTTTCTGCCAACACCGTAGAATTACTGAGTTCCAGCCAGCCTGCGGGCACAATAGCAGAAAAAGCACAGGAGCTGTGTTAACAATTGAGAATTTGCATATTTAAAGGAGTTGAAATGAACACTACCTGTGAAAACTGAAAAGTAGGATGCATTTGTTTCTATGTGGTGAGTGTTGAGACAGGGAACTAACAAGATAGGGGTTCGCTTTTTTGTTTGTTTGCACTTTTAAGATTAGATTATTGCCGCTCCTAATCTCACAATTTTAAAAACTCTGATACATGAGCGCCTAAGTTACTCTGGATGTATCACACACATCACAAGATGACTTCATAAAACTGGACGCTTCAGACACTGCACCTCCCCTGACTGAGGTGTAGCAGGCTGCATCCTCGGAAGTTCAAATCACAACCGCGCTTTGCAGAGACACCGTAAAGCGGCAAAGGGCGTTTTGCGCTTGTCTCAGTTTCCACTCCTCCGTGCTCAGGTGAGGACACAGGCTCCCCCTCCCTCTCTGCTGCTCGGGGGGCTTAGCCCAGGAGATGAAGTTGCAGTTCTGGCAATTAGTTCTAGCCTCAGAAACAAAGCAGCGTCACTTTCTTCAATGCCGTGGCCATCAAACCAGTGTCTGTGTGACCTCTGGTCTCACACCTTCACAGATGCAGTGCCCTCCAGCAGCCTCACGCTCCTCCAAGAAAGTGAAACTTAAACCATGTGACTACAGACACAGTAGTAACAGAATTACATCAGTTTTGAATTGTGCCATTGAAATCCGTTTTCAGCACATCTGTAACAGCTCTATTTGAATTGCCTTATTGAAGGCTAAGGTGAATCACAGAATGATATGGGGTTGGAGGGGACCTCTGGAGATCATGTAGTTCAACCCCCCTGCCAAAGCTGGTCCTCCTGGAGCAGGTTGCACACGAATGTGTCCGGGCAGGTTTTGAATGTCTCCAGATATTCAAAGTCCAGAGACCCCACCACCTCCCTGGGCAGCCTGTTTCAGGGCTCTGCTACCCTCAAAGTGAAGAAGTTCATCCTCATATTTAGATGGAACTTCTTATGTTCAAGTTTGTGCCTGTTACCTCTTGTCCTGCCACTGGGCACCACTGAAAAAAGACTGGCCCCATCCTCCTGACACCCACCCTTGTAGTATCTATAGGCATTGACCAGATCCCCCCTCAGTCTTCTCTTCTCCAGACTAAAAAGACCAAAGTCTCTCAGCCTCTCCTCCTGAGAGATGCTCCAGGCCCCTCATCATCTTTATAGCCCTAAATAGGGACACAATCCTTGAAATTAGTATGTGAAATGTCCCCCGCAACTAATTGCTCAAAAACATCTTTGTTAAATTCTAACCAAAAAATATTTTGATCTATAGAACTCCACTAACCACTAAAAACAGAGCTTGTAATAATCTACATATAAAATATTTTCAGGGCTTCCTTTTTGAAAAAATAATGAAACAAAGATGAATCACCACATTATTATAAAAAGCAGTTTTATAACATTTACAAATATACATGTTACTCACAGTAAGATTGAAAAAAAGCCAAAGCTTTTCAGACAAGGGCAAAGACAATAGATCAGGTACAGATAATTCCAGAATATATTAAAAATAAAAAAATCATTAATACATTAGCTAAAAATTAATATTTGCTCCCAAGCCAGTGTTCATCCTTCTGTAATCATCTGAGGTCCTTCTTGCTTTGAGCCATCACAGTGAAAGTTATGGCTGAAATAGGTCTATGCAAGAATGACATAGTTATGGCAATTTCTAAAAAGAGATTACATCATACAGATTCGGGCGCAGGGTGCTTGTGAATGCAGCCGGGGCAGCAGTGCAGGGAATCATGAACAAACAAATCGCATTCCACGCAAAATACATTCTGACACACTTTACATATGTAAACCTGCGTGGAAAAGACAGAAAAACAAGTCAAATCAGAAAAAAATTACCACCATCCTAGCACAGCTGTGCCATCAAGACAGTGTAAACAGACTAAATATATTGCTCACATCACAGAAACCCAACTGAATTAGTTTCTAACAGCAAATATGTCCAAAGGGAATGAGCTGGAGTCACTGTGGATGCTCCCACACGGCTACAAGTGGAAGCTTATTTATGCAACCCTCCAGGAAATCCCTTCCCATTTCCTAGACTTTGCAGTCTAAAAGGTGTGACTCTGTAACAGAGAATTCTAGTTAACCGTGAGATGAACTTCCACAAATATTTTTCTGGTCTACAGAAGACTTATACTAAAGGATCATCTCTTCTTTGACACCCCTCAATGCAAATTCCAGTGCAGTTCAACATACTTACATTTTGATCTTTCATTTCTCCCTGGCAGCCTTGACAATACCTAAAAGCAAAATTGTGTATTTTAACTGAAAAAATGTCAAGATTGTGTAAAATGCTAAAAAATAACACATACACAATAACAATTTATGGCAATTACTTCAGCTATTCAACTGAACACAATGGATAGCCATAAATGGGAACTGCAATACTCCTTATTGCCAGAGATGCCCCAAAACACCCAAACTTTCAACAGTGTCTCCAGCAGCAAAGAATCTGCTGCCAGCTATTCTTACTTTCATGACAAAAAAAAATTACAGGGTCTACAAGTGCACATATTATCACAAATATGATCTGCATACCGTTCCCCCTGATATTCTTCCAGTGGAACTTCCTGAAAGGCATCCAAAGGAAACAAGTGATGGTAAGACCGAGCCAGGTGAGGTGCAGACACCAGTGTAAGACCTGCAAATAAAGAGAGATCATAATTATTACTAAAGAGGACTTCCTGAAAAATCTTTTCTGTACTAAACAAAGCAAAAAGAAAAAAATATTTTTTTCAATCAGCAGTTTAGAACTTTTAAAAATTAAAACCCATAAAATTATTTGTTCATTAGCTTTTATAATCCAAACCTGTAATGCTTTCCAGAATGAAATTCAAATATAAACTAAAGAACAAGCAAATTGCGCAAATTTCTAATTTAAAGGTTTAACTCAGTCTTTAGAAATGCACTTATAAGGCATAGTTAGAAAGATAGTAATTTTTTTTGTGGCTGCATTTTGTTCACGCGCATCTAAATGCTCAGTTCCTCCCTGGCAATGATGGTTCTGCTGTTTCGTATCACCAGTTAAAATGCTGCCCAACTACAAAGCTCTACTGCAACCTGCTATAATACTGCTGAAGCCACGCCATGGCCCTTTCAGCTAACACGGGTCTGCTGGTTTTGGCTGGGAAAGAGTTAATTTTCTTCATAGTAGTTAGTAAGGGGTTGAGTTTGAGATTTATGCTGGAAACAGTGTTGATAATACCTTATTGCTGAGGAGTGCTCATACAGAGTCAAGGCATTTTCTGCTCCTCACCCCACCAGTGAGCAGACTGGGGGTGCAGGAGAAGCTGGGAGGGGACACAGCTGGGACAGCTGACCCCAACTGACCAAAGGGATATCCCATACCATATGATGTTGTGCTCTGCCATAAAAGCTAGGGGAAGAAGGTGGAAGGGGAAGGACATTTGAAGTTATGGCATCTGCCTTCTCAAGTAACTGCTAGGCATGATGGAGCCCTGCTTCCCTGGAGATGGGTGCCGATGGGAAGCAGTGAATGAATTCCTCACTTAGCTCGGCTTGTGTGCACAGTCTTTGCTTTACCTATTAAACTGTCTTCATCTCAACCCACAAGTTTTCTCCCTTTCACTCTTCTGATTCTCTCCTCCATCCTACCAGGAAGTGGGGCTTAGCTGCTTGGCTGGGGTTAAACCATGGCAAAAGGCAAGTGTCAGCTGGGGCATGGGCTGCCACAACCTTCTTCATCCCTCACTCAAATGCAGCGTAAGCTTCCGAGCTGTTGTTGTGCTGACAGCTGCAGCTGTGATGAATCTGTTGCTGATACACAGGATTTCTCCAATTACACTACAGCCTTGCCGAAATGAAACTCAATGCTGATACGAAAACTTTGACACGGAACTAGGACAAGGTGACTTAAAACTAGAATTACTTCATCCTCTTGCCAAATACTGGCATCTTGGTAATACCTATCACGTTTTAGTCATATGCCTGTAGAAGCTAACAGGAGGACAGCTGTTTCTCACACAATATTAATAATATAAAGAATGCTAATACTCCCTCCTGCTCTCATGAGGGTGGGGGGAGGAGGGCACAATTGGTTGCATAGTCCATTAACATTTGCAAGATGTAAGGGCTCCCATTTACAACTTCCATGTGTCACTGTGCAGCCTGCCCTTGGCTTCAACTTTGAAACCTTTCATCCACATCATCCTGGAGGTGAGGGGGTGCTCCTGTTCTTTTAACTCCAAAACACTCTTTATCTTCATGGGCTTGTACTGAGGAGTCCGAAACACTGGTGTGTCTATTAAATCAGGATCCTTGAGGAAATTATTATAATTCCTATGTGAACCTCCCTACTTCCCCCTTTTGCTTTAGGGCTTTTAGTTTATAACATTATAATAAATAACATGATACAGTGTTAGTGTTACTGCTACAGGTGTAGAGCTGAAAGTCCCTTGTAGGATGCTGAAATCCCAGGACACTGGAATGCAGGGTTCTTAAAGCAGAGCTGGCTTTTAATTCCTAAGTATAGTTGAATTTTTCTACCCTTAACTGTCTTACCACTAACTCATAATTCACCTGCTCACCTCTTCTTGCTACTCACCACAAATTTTGCATTCCACAGGAAGGTCAGAGTATTTGGCTCTGCACTGGGGACAGAAATATCCACCCAGGGTAAGACCTGGATCAGTGTTGTTTTCCAATTGCCTGGAGCAGAGGGAGACAATTTAACACATAAAAGATAACACCTTAATACTACATAACCACAGGGACTACATAGTTCTCACAGCAAATAGTTTAAAAAGTTCCAGTAGCTTCCACACAACAGTTCCATGTGTAGGGAAGTGTCAGATAGCAATCAATCAAGATACCAGTAACCACATTTTCCCAGAGAAACAGAACAAAGACCAAATTTTCCCACATAAAGGAGCCAATATATGTCTCAAAAATAAAGTTATGAAAGATAACAACATTAGTATTTCTACTTACAAACACATGAATACTCTGTATTAACTTTAAGATATATGTTGGTACTTATTCTTTCAAACAGCAGACACTCCGACTCCCCTATCATCCCTGAAAACTATGATTCCTCTCATTGAGAAGAGCACTGGTACACTAAGGAAATGAGGTCTCTATTTTAAACTTCCTTTAAAGTCACATTAGAAAATAGATTAAAAAAAAACTTTATTCCAGACAATACCCTTCCTCCTCATCATTATCTTTATAGTGATAAAAATTCTTGGATCAAGAAAAGCAAGTAAAATTGGTATCAATTACTTTAATACTTTGTAGCATCCTGGTGTTCTAATCACTGCACAACACAACTAAAAGCCCTTTACTACTTTCAAACAATTTTAGATGTAAATTTTAAAAAGCATATTTAACAGAGATGACTACAGCCACATACTGGATTTGCAAATGGAAAGAATTTCTACTGAGAAGTCACAGGATAATACTTACATTTTTTCATGTAATTTTGCAATATTGTCACTGACAAGCAGATTTTCTAAATACGACTAATTATTACTGAATTATGATCAGCTCATTGAATTCTAATCAACTCTACTTACGCCATGCTAAAGGACGGCTTTGCATCTTGATCAGATAGAGAAGCAATAGTATGCTGAGGAAAACCTGAAGAGAAAACCATCCCGTATTAGCAACTTCAAACATGCAAGTTATCTTACAGTTTCTGACTTCCATGGAGCAGTTCCAAAGATTATTCTAAACATTAAGGCCTATCTCTTTTTTTGTTTGTTTGTTATTACAGGAGAAGTAATACACTCTAACTAAGTATCAAATTACTCCTAAAGGTCTCTACCTACATCCAATAAATCCCTCACTGTATTTCCCCCAACTGAAAAAAATCTTTTCATGGACTTCATATTAACTGATGCTCACTGGAACCACATTTTTGAAAAACAGCTAAAACCAAAATGATGTTCATTTGAACAACAGTTTCTAATTAAGGGGAAAACGTTTTTGTATGGAGAAACAAAGCGTTTATTCACTTTCCAAGTGCAGTATACGACAGATGAGACTGTAGCACTTTATGGAGGCTGTAACAGATACCATTCTTTCTGTCACTTATTTTTTACAGCTCATGTCAAGTGGGAAGTTAATTTTTCCAACTGCTGTTCAGGCTTTACTTATAACAAGTACATTTCTGCAGTATTTAAATCTACACATAAAAATACATACATTGTTATCTGTGAAAACATATGGATGAAAGTGAGAAGTCAATGCTATAATTCATAGCATTAGAGTGCCTATTCTAGTTTAAATCCAGGCTTAAATTTATTGAGAAATACATCAGGAGAAGAAAAGGTACCTAATCCATTTGTTGAAAGAACACCACAACAGTGCTCCTAACAAACATGTACTACATGGCCAAACAGATGGATCTTACAACTTAAAACAGTTGCCTTCTGTAGGGAAAAAACAGAGGGAGAAACAAAATAGGTTTTGATCCTTAATTTCTAAGCATTACATTTATACCAATTACTAACTACTGTACGAGCAATATCATTCAATTTTATTGCCTTATTTGTTTAAACTCTTAACTTTGAGTAAAAGCTGACTACTTTGCAGGAACAACATCAAGAAAATTGGTATCTATTTAGCAAAATAAAAGTTAAAATAAAAAAAACTACTGTGCAATGTCTTTATTATGCTTCTAATTAGTTTTATGGCTTTAACACAGAAGATGCAAAGAAAGAAAAAGACAAGATTCATAAATCTTGTACTAGGACTTTAACAAAACCATATCTTACCCATTCGAATAAGAGAGCACTCAGAACTTGAACTGGCAGGTGGAGGACTAACATGATGCATCAGCAGTTCCTTATAATGACTTTCATCTAAAATAACGTGGTATGTTCCTGTCACAAAGAAATAAACACCTTGCTCTCAGATAAGACTACAAACATATTCTCCAAATGACAGAAAAAAGATTTAGTAAGAAAAAATAATTTAGCCAACCCCATTCCCAAAACCCAGTCCTGGCAATGTTACTGAAAATAATGTTTTAAAATTAGTAACACCAGAACATTTAATTAAATACGAAGGCCTATAGCTTTTTCTCCAACATGACACTGTAGTAATGATATTGTTAGAGTTACCACTGTAGTAATTGATATTAACATGTTACATTAATTAGAGTTCCACATCCCACAGCTTTACATGTGGAATACTAGGTTTTAAAATATATATATATATATATATATATGTATTTCTTCTCTCTAGAGGTGCAGCTACCAACTGGTAGTAATTTCACTAAATACTAAATATTTCACTAAATATGTTGTATATTTGGGAAACTCATAAAATTTCTGCCAGCACAACAGAATATTAATCCTTAAATATCCTAAAATTGGTTACTAAATTTTGATTTTAAAGTTGTATTACTAGTATAACTACTGAATTTCAGATACATACCACCAGTTTCTCGGGCAAGCACTGTACAAACTCGAACTTCAGCACTTAGGCCGATGATAGACACTCGGATCTTAACGGCTTTTAAACACTTCAAGTGGAAAAAGAAAGCATACTCAAATTCAGGAAACAGTAAAAAGGTTCAAAGTTTTAAATGAAAATTAATTGGCAATGACACTGCCACTGTCTGCTTTTAGTCCAATATCTTGATCGTTAAATTTAGCAGTCAAACTTCACTTCTGTACCTTAATTAGATCATAGATGTTGGTTGGATCACATGTCGTCAGACTGCTGAAGACTACCAAAACCTCTCTGCTTGTATGTCCCGGCATGTGCCTAAAGAAAGTATATAGTTAATTTACTTCTGTACACTAAGGTACTTGTAGGCTAATGTTCACAGGGACTTTAGTTTGTTAAAGTCAGGAGACAACATGACATGAAGTCTACAAATTACAAGACTGTGGTAAGACCCTTCTCTGAGCACCAGAACTTCACCTTCCAAAAGCCAAACCTTTCCAGCCTCTAAAATAACAGTATTTGATTATGTAGTTGTTATTTGATTGTTTGCTCTAATGCTTAAGTTATCCCTGTACCTTATCCATACTCTCACCTTCAAACTAGCAACAGTGTAGCAAGTCTTCCTGACTTCTTAAAATAAAAATCTCTAATTAGTTTATAGCTGTAAAACCATTACTTTTGACTACTGTCTTTTAGTTCTCAATGGAAAACTCTCTTCCAACTAGTCATTCAAATATATTTTTATGTCCCCGACTACTGTTTTTGCTCCATCAGTGTTTTTAGCTGTAATTAATTGTTAAAACAGTCTTTGACAAATTCTCACCCCATCTCAATACCTCACAGAGCAAAAAAGCTTTTTAAACTTTTAAAAATCTATCCTACCTGAAAATTTAGCTTTCTGAAGTGTGCCAGAACTCCACCTGATTACTGTGATTCAATGCTCTCTTATAATTATTAATCCCTAGCTCTGCCCTCTCTCTTATACCTCAGTCCTCTAGTAAGAAATAATTGCAGGGTCTTTCATCACCATTTTCTTATGCATCATAATACCACTTACTTTGTTTTAAAATATTGTTGCTTTTTATAAGCAGCACACCTCCAAATAGAAGCATCTTGTGTTAGAAAATTAATTTCTGCACTACTAGCATATTTAACTTCTTAACCTTTTAAAGACTCACATCAGCACAATGCAAGATGCTACTTGTAAAAAATACTGTCTCTGTCCCTCCAAAAATTCCCAATTAGCATTACAATGATTACGAAAAACATAGAAAAAGAACCTCCATGTACATACTAACTTTAAAGTCTGCATGGCCAAATTTAACGCATTGTATAGAGATGGCTCTCCGCTGCAGTTCATATCCACTGCTTTCTTCAGAGCAGCTATGTGCTTTTTTGAGTTTCCTGTAAGTGAAAAAAAAATCCAACTCACCGGAAATAACAAGTTAAAAGAATAACAATATTTACACTCTTGATCAGAATGCAGAAAACAATACAACAATAAGACTTCATCTCTGAAGCTGCACAGATCACTAGTGACAGAAGGCAGGAACCAAAGAAACCTCGCTTCTTAACATCTGGTCAGATATCACAGAACACACAGATGTAATAAAAATGAAAATTAACAGAGTGAGAAATTAACTATAGGGAAAACAAGGCATATTTTAGTTGCAGTATGGATAAGACTCGATCACGGACAAGCATGTGATGACAATCAAAACAGATCAAAATAAAGACCCCAAGTTCAGACAACCTGAAATAATATTTTTAACCTTAAAAAGAAGTTATGTTAAGGTTACTTCACTTTCATCAGTGTCATCCAGGTAGAACTTAACATCAATGCAGAAATGAAAGCATTTTTAAATGTTCAAAATTTAAAAAACAATTAAAAACCAAACATACAACTATCTCCCTACCTGAAAGTTCTGACATTTTTTCAGCTCTTTTACTCTTGGTTATAATTAAGCCAATCTGGAGAAGGAAAAAAAAAAAAAGGCAAAACTTTTCTTAGAAAGTTTAAGAATAAATTAATTTACATTTTTGCTATAATTTGCTTACTACTTCTCTATGGATCAGAATAATCTAACTATACAAGTTTTCTTTTAACAATAGCAGCACAACACTATGCATCCCTTAACATACATTCCTGTATTTCCAGTACTTTTGCCACAAACTACAAAAAGAAATCTTCTAAAATTTTAAATGCTTGAAAAAAATATAATCAGGTCTTCTGTGTTAGAATTTATGTTTAGGAAAAAGGGAACAGTTGGGTTCTTACTTTCATTAGTTGAGGCAGAAACAAGAATTTCACCGGACTGATAAGGAAGGGATGGGAAGGAACACATAAATTGAAAACAGTTTACTACATAGTGTTAAAACTAAAACTAACTTTTAAAATAGTTTTCAGTTACTTGTTTCTTGCATGGTTGTACATACCTGACTAATAGGATTTTGGTCAAAGTACTCTTCAACAAAATATTCCAATAACTACAAAGAAAAGTTAAGACCATTAAAAACGAAATACAGTTTTATTCAACATACATTAAGCAGGTGGTACTTGCAAAACATCCAGTATCACTGGGGAAAAAAAAAAAAAAAAAAGAAAAATAAAAAGGGGGGAATCGTGGAATTGTCAGAGTTGGAAGGGACCTCTAGAGATCATCTAGTCTAACTCCCTTGCTAAGGAGGATTGCCCAGAGCACATCACTCAGGACTGCATCCAGGCGGGTCTTGAAAAATCTCCAGAGAAGGGGACTCCATGACCTCCCTGGGCAGCCTGTTCGAATGAGCCCCTCCTTTCCACTCTCCTTTCACCCCAGCCCTTCCATCTTTTTCCTTCCACCCACGTTACTAACACAATCTTTCAGACTAGCCACCTCTTATTTTACTCACTTCACGTGCTAAAAGCCCTAGACTACTGTTGGTTCAAACGGAGGTTTACACCAAAAACCACTAATCTGTACAAAATCCCCAAAATCCGCAATTTCAATGCTTAGTGTTGTTAGAGAAGACCATACAGTACAAGATGTACAGTTCAAGTGCTCCACAGTCTGAAGCAGGATTCCAATTCAACTCCTATCTAGCATCCATTCAAATCAGAATTCATTAGAACACAACTGTAAGAAAAAAAAAATCCCAGATGTGTAACAAAAGCACGTTTATTCTTCTTCCATTCCTTATTACAGGCAACACTTCAGCTTAATTTCCCCAAACTTTTCGTAATGTGTCTTTCCATAATATGTCCTTACAAAGTGTTTTTACTGTACAGAACTAGTCCTGCAAGGCAAATAATTGTCACACAGGTTTTGCTATTAAAAAAACGAGGAAAATTACAAACTAGCAAGAGAAAAAGGGGAAAAAAATGTAGGAGTGATGAGGCTATGCATGTAGTCTAGTCAGAGGAGACTGCCATTCTTTTCAATCCAAAATTGAACTGCTTTACAATGAAACAGTACATTAATAAGAGAAAGCTTTTGACTAAAGAAATACCTTCAAAGTGCAAGTAAGTCTGTTTGGCTTTAAATCTTGGTCCTCCATAGATCTTGATCCATCAACAACCACGTAAAGGTGACGCATCTGCATTTTCACCAGAAGCGATAATCACTCAGACAACAGATATTTAAACAAATTGTTCATTATTCCATTTACTTAAAAGAGCACGTACATCCTCCCTCAAATGTGGAAAATCCGGTGTATTGAGCTGTGCAATAAACAGCAACCAAAAAAAGCTATGCATTTTTTCCCACTTTTCCTTCAAAATGGAAGTAAATACTGTCTTGAAAAATGCACACTGATCTTTCCCTCTCATGATAAACTACAAAATACGCTGAGTTTGCACCTTGACCTCTTAAGAGGTCAGCGTTGTGTGAAGTAATATTGTCACTTACAACTGATTTAGATTATGCCCATTTTTCACACGAAGAACTGACAGTTCAAGTGCGTGTGATGTGACTGCTGTGGCAAAACACACCCTGATACAGCAAGCATGCCAGACCTTCACCTCTGAATACATATGTTTCACATCCACACTGCCAATGAACAAAGAATTTTTTTAAAAAAGGCTGGTGGAAAATGCAAGCTTTGGTCTCAAGTGCATTAAGCCAGCAAAAGTGTGTTTCAGAGGAGGCATACCACCTCTGTCCAAGTGGTTTTGGACAGACAATGGTTGAGAGGACAACGGTTGAGACATTAACGTACCATTCCAAGTCGAACTTGTCCATGGTGCTCATAGAGTCTAATAAAACACAAAACGATTTAAGTAAGATGCAAATGAATGAATCGTTCCTAAAACAAAAGTCTGGAACAAATCCAATACTAGACTTCTGTCAAATATGAAGCAGTAGCAAACCACAGACATTTATTTACACTGAAAAAAAGACAATTCAGTTACAAATAGATTTCACGCCTCTCAAAAAACACACAAACTATGTCTTACTAACAGGTTTAATGAAACTTTAAGATTTTATCTAAATTCGAATACTTCAACATAACGTGAAACCAAACAAATCTAGATTTTATCTAGCAATTTTTTTGTGTTGATTTGAAACACAGATCTGGTGCCATGATATCAAAACCCTGCTGGAAGCATGATTTGTGTATAAAAAAAAAAAAAAAAAAAAAAGCAAAAGGAATTAATTTTAATCAATTAGGAAAGCTGCATCTTAAACACAAGAATGATTTTTTACCTGTAGGGAGCACGACAGAAGAGGATTAAAACTCAAAAACTTTAAAAAATAACACACCAGTTTTTTTTTAAATGAGATTGCATTTATCAACATGTTTTAATTACATAAAGTAACTGACTCAAATTTTCTCTAAGCAGTGCAAACTACAATTGCAGGGCTTTGCACCGTGCTGTATCTGGTCGAGACCTCACCTCCCCAGCTAGCATACATCGGGGGGCCCTAGCCTGTATATAACCACTCATAAGATTAAAGATAATTTTTTATTTTTTTTTCCTTCTGGAAGAATTGATAAGTAGCAGGCAAGAGGCACGCAACTGGAGCTCTAAAAAGGTAAGGGCATAAAAACATATTGCAAGCATGCCAATACGCTTACTCGGCCTAGAGGGCCCAGTTTCTGAATGACTTAAGTCCCTAAAACTGACCAGACCGCTGCTATTAGAAGGCTCGTGGCACCACATGATACCTTTTCCTCTTTGCCTTGAAAAGAATGTCCTCGATGGTAGCTTTCAGCGATCCGGACTCGTCTTCTTTAAGAATCTCCCTGCGCAAAAGAGACAGTTATTGAGCAGAAGGGGGTTTTTTCTCGCCACTGAGGCGGCGCGGGGGGGGAGGAGGGACGCTCACCATGTTCTCTCGTAGCCCCCTTCCCAGCGCTTGGTCCGTTCGGGTTCCTCATCCATGGCCGCGGCTGCGCTCCGCCGAGGGCGGCCCTGCTTCCTGACGACACCGAAGGCCGCCGGCCCCGCAGGCCCGACTACCGGCTGAAGGGAAGCCTCGGTACGGCGGCTGAAGGGGCCGTGAGGAGGGGCCGGCCCCAGGCGGGCCGCCGGCGACCTGGGAGGGCTGAGGGGAAGGGGACCCGCGCCCGTCCCCGCTCCCGCCGCACCAACCCGGAAGAGCCGGCGCCGGGCCGCATCCGCCCGGCTGCGCCGCTAACCCGCCCGGTCTGCCGCCAGCGCCGCCAGAGAGCGTTCCGGAGAGGCAGGAAGGAGCGAGGCGGGACCCAGGTGGCGGTCACCGGTAATACCGGGTTTAATTTGCCTCAAAACTTTGCTCCGAGGCCGCAGCCGCTCCCCCCCTCCTCTGCCCCTCCGCCGCCGGCCCGTGTCCCCGCTGAGACTGGGCCGGCTCGGCCTCTCAAGCGGCTGCTCCTCCTCGGCACCTCAAACTGAGGGAAATAACGCTGCCGCCGCAGGTAAATACAGGATGTTTGTCCCAGCGACACCAAAAACGCGCCGATTAAGTTACAAAAAGAGGACGGTGGCGTCGCCGTGGGCAGGGAGCCCGCGGTGCGCCCTGTCGGGCCCGGGCTCCGCTCTCTGGGACCCGCTAAACGGCGCCAAGGCGCTGTCTGGGTTTATGTGGTATTTCCGTAATTAACTGCAGTAATTTGGGGTAATTAACAGAAGAATCCGGGAGCCTGGATTGTGGGGAGAAAAAAAAAGACCCGTTTTTTTTTACGAGTACCGTAGCACTGAATTTTAATAATGCATCATTACACCCGTCAGTTGCTTAATGAAATCAGCAGCTCATTAGCCCGGTAGCAAAAGCACTGCTTTAACTCCGCTCTGAAACAGAAGAACTTGGCATTCATTCATTCGCTGCAAGGTTTAGGGTGTATTTTCTGTTATTTTAGTGTGGTCACGGGAGCAAACCGAGTGGTGGAGTAGTACAAGTTTTTGCAAACACGCAGAGTGATCTGGCCATATTCAGGATCTCCCCTATCTGGCCGGGTTCTTGTTTGGCTACAATAGCTTTCTTCAGGGATTTCTTTTAATAAACTGTCACTACAAAGCTGTGAGCAGTTAAATGGCAATTGCATATAAAAATGCTTTGGGGTGCGTCATATTCCACTGAGTGAGTGTACTAATTGCTCTGTCCAAAGGAAACGTAGTTTTTCACTAAATGTTGTGTATGTTCTGTTTTTCAGGTATCTTTAAATTTACTGTTTGTCTCATCTGCAAGCATACAGTTTATGTTTAAAGGTGGCCAGAAAGATACAAGAAGGACTTCACCTCATATCCAGCAGCTCAGATTACAGCAGAGAGATTTGGAAATATTGATTAATGTAGTAGAGCGGTGTCTGGGCTGGGTGAGTTCTACCCATACATGCCAATGCTACTTTGAAAAAGTTTATTTTTGGTCTATAAAACAGCACAAGTCTACACTAGAAGATGGGATTGCTTGGAGATTGCTTCCTGAAGCTACAGCTTTTCACTTGCTTTTCAAAATAGGGCAAAAGGCTATTTTGTTTGCATACACAAAACTGACGTGATGCTAAAAGAAAGCATCAAGAAGAAAATTGGTCACAGTTTTAATACACAGTAGACATTCTGGGGTTTTGGCTGGTACACAGGTCCCAGGAGGGGCTTTTATTGTTGTCTCTGAAGAAGAAATCTGAAGCGCTTGTAATAGCGATTATCTTCATATGCAGGCAGAAAGCAGGTTACACTTCTCAGAATGAAAAGGCACTGTTAGATTTACAGATGCTAACTAATCACCTTTCACAATTATTGTAGTAAAGATTATAAAACTACATTTAACTATGTAACAGTAACTTCCTTCGATTACCCTTACTTCACTATGCCCAGAAATTGACAAATGATTGTGCAGTAATATCAAACCAGTTGATGCTGAATGAAGCACGACATGGTCCCTACATTCAGGAGTTTACAACAGTAACTAGTTCATGTTGTTAAACCTAGAGGATATTTGTTTAAATACAAGAAAAACATTTTCAGTTGTATGGGTTAACATCAGAGTGCTTGAGAAGACGACATGGTTACAAAATGTTGCCATGGGATTTGCCTTTGTAAGAATGAGGCAGCAGGGAAAAAACAGGGAACAGAGGGACAGATTTGTTAGCAAAACAAACTTGCTAATAGAAAAATAGGATCAGAACTATAAAACATTCAAAACTGCCAAAGGTCTGAAATCTGCTGTGGAAAAAGAAATATTTACATATAATTGACACACATGTATATATAAATTTTATGTATCTCCAGAACAAAATACTACACACAGTGGTAGAAAATTAAAATTGCTGTAACTGTTCAATTATAGGTAGAAAGGAAGAAACCCAGTGACATCTGCAGAGTTCCCATATTTTGGGAATAGTAAGGAAGAAGCAATCTTTCAGGATGAAAGAATACATTACAGTCATTTTGCATGTTCTGGTAGTTCCACAAGGTCTTTATCTACGTTTAAACAGGATTACAGTGCATGTTCTAGAACTGTACGAAAGTCTCAAATTATTTATTTTACTAGAGTGAAAATTACATATAGTTTTAAAAGCTTGCAAATACTTGCTTTCCCACAATGCAAGGAAAAAGAAGGTGCAGGTAGGCACAAATATATTCTTTCCCATGCAGAAAGTTTGAGATATTTTCATTGAAATACAAAAGAGGTAACAAGTTAGTTTCAGGTATTTTGATGGTATGTGATTATGTTTTGTTTCTGCCTAAAATAATTCCAAGCAACGCTTATCCATCTCATGTCAGCAAGAGCTTCCATTTCGTAAGCATCACACAGAGAGAGATTTTGCTCAATAAAGCTAGAGGTAGTTTCAGCCAGTTTCTCTGCAGAGCAATTATAACTTTTCTGGGTACAGTGGAAGGGTGCCAAGACTGGGTTTGACCTCTTGAATTACAGGAAAGTTACCGAGCATCCGTTTCTAAGGGGCGTCACTCTGCATCCAAGTAAGACAATAAATGAGGAAGAAAACATTTAAACAGCAGTAACATGTCCTTAAACAGGAGTGGGGAAAAACTTACTGCTTCTGTATCCTTCAGCCTGTTGCATTTATCAGGAGCAATTTATACCTATAAGGGGAAGAGAGGTGGTGTGGTTTGGGCAGGGCTGGTCACTAAACGATCGACAGATGCTGTCTTTAATGGGAGAGAGACTTATGGGTTGAAAAGAAACTAAACTAATGAAATATTAAAATAAAAATAATAATATGAAAATATAATGATAATAAAATAATGAAATGCATACAACATACACAAAACAAGTATCGAACTCCCAGGATGACATCACTAGCAGGCACTGGGGAAGGCCCAGACAGCAACGGGTGGGAACTGGTTTCTGGATCTGAAGTCAAGAACACATGGATCGGGATCAAAGGCAGATGAACAGACAGAATCCTCCTTGGACATTGGTCATTGAAGAAAGATGCTGACCCTTTGATCCCTCAGCTTTTATCCTGAGCACAATGCAGATGGGATGGAATATCATGTTTTGGGTCACCTGTCCTGTCTGCTCTTCCCTGCAGGTGGGACCCCTCTACGCTTTTATGCTTCTGACCTTCCAATGGGGCACATAACAAAGTGACCTGACCTTGCTCGTTACAGCGATAAGTATAAGCAAGATCCTCTCAGCATACCATTCCTTGGTGTTCACTGCAAACATCAGGCCTTGCCGTTCTGCTAGCAGACACCGTCTGAAAAATTTCAGTCAGTTAGAACAGACCCAACTGAAAAGTAAAACTTCTGAAAAGAAAATTAGTTCTGGCTTACCTTGAACCAGGACAAGAAGTGAAATGAATTAGGTTTTGATTACACCATACCTGGGAAAAATCCAAGATATTTTGAAGGAAAGTAATGAAAACTACTGAAGATAGAAAAAGAGAACTTCTTTAGTTTGAGAGGTCAAAATGTGCTTCTGGGAACTGAATATAAAGTTGTAGTTTGATAAACTCCCATTAGATCACATGCCATCCTTTCTTAAGAAATTACAAAGTCCAATTTATAAAACGTAGAAATGGAAAAATGTCTGCAAGCTGACAATTTTAATAGAAGAGAGAAATGAGACTTCTTTCAGAACAGGAATATTTTTTATTGTCAAGGCCAAGAATTTCAATGCTGGACAGGAATGCAGGATATACAATCATTTTGTACATTATTATTGTCCAAATGCTTCAAATCCCACCAGAATTTTGAGATTAATAAACTAAATATCAGATAGCTGCTTCTACAATTTCCAATCAATTAGATTTTCATGGCTATGAGTATTTTGAGTTGATACACTGTCATGAAAGCTAGTCCACCCTACCATGCAATGCAAACTTTTGGTTACATTTGTTAGGTGCTGCTGTACCTGCCCTGCAAAAATGTACACATTAGTAAAGAGTATGCAGATGTTTCCATAGTTATCTTGATCACGGATATCCAGCTGTTTATCAAGACAAAAAAAAAAAAAAGGCCTTTTATTGATTTATTCAAGTCTAGTTTGAAAACTGTTATATTCCTGGAAACTGTTAAGTCTCTTAGACATTTCCCTTTGTAGATCTGTGGAGCCAGGCGGGCATTTTCTGAGGAAGACTGAAGGATAAAAGTTCTTGTTATATACACTGAGTGTCTGAGAAGAGGCTGTAACTGAAAGTGGATGCGGTGTGCCCATTAATAGGGCAATATTACTTTTTAAGATTGAAATAGATGTTGACTACCTTCTGCAAAAACCCAGTCACATGAGTAAGACCACAGAGCAGACTCTTTACATGTACACACAACAACACAGAATGAGAGCTGAACTAGAAAGACTGCATAGAGAGACCGAGGTGGTTTTGCCCGAAGTATAACCTTCTATTCTATAAGGATATGAAGAGACCCCTTTTCCGTGATAGTTCCAATTGTAACTAATTCTCACTCAATTTCCTCCTGATTTCTCTCTTGCATTTGACTGGCTTCAGCTCCCATCCATTAATTTTTACTTCATTCATCTCACTTTATCCGAGAGAGAAAAATGTTCCTTAGACTAGTATTTTTTCTTTGGCTTGTTCAGAGCACTGTTGACAAGTCTCTTTTCAGTTCTTTATTGGTAGGTTGGGCCAAAACCAGCTCACTCATTGTATGTACCAGAAGTGCCTGCTGAGCAGTGCTGAGGCCCATAACGGATCCAGGACTGAGCAAGTAATTTATTGTAATGGTTGCAACACATTGTCCTACTGGACTTCCTAAATTGCGAAGGTAAATGCTATCTCCTGCGGCTCAATGCTCAGCACACCCCACTGTACTAATCCTCTTTAAAACCCAAAAGGCTGGCAGAAGGTAGTATTCCATATTCCTACCTATCTTCTCTCCCCAGCTTTTGGAAAATCCATTCAGCCACAGCTGTGGCACCTTGCTGGGAAATGAGGAGGATCCACACACAGCTGTCTCCACTTGGTTTATTTCCTCCTTCCAGCCATGGCACGGTGTCCCTTTTCCCCAACCCCTTTGTTGGAAACTTTGTAGGGAAGGAGGAGAAGGGTAGTTCTGCAGAGGCTATGAAGGCATTCTCTGAGGGGTCAGGAACCAGTTTCTCACAGGCTGAAACTCAGACCACTGTCAAAGGCAGCCTGCAGCTAGGCCTCAGTGTCCTACAGGAGGAAGGCCTATTAAGGGTGCAGACTGTGAATCTTCCAAAGAAAACATCAGTCAGCTTCTTTTTAGCGCTATATAAACATCAGCTGATCCTTAAACTTGAATTAATCTTCTTCTCCTGGTACTGATGCCATGCCCAGAACTCCCACTGAGAAAAAATAAGAAACCTGGGCATACAGTGAGAGGTCATTTAGATTGCAGGGATTTGGACAAGGACCCCTCTTACAAAGAAAAGTTTAACAAGTATACATCACAGTAAGTATAAAACAGTTGGCCCAGCTCCTTTATAAGGTAGAGAGGTTTCCTCTTCTTTTAAAATAATAGAAACATGAACCAGAGAGAGACAGATAGCACTGACTGTCATCTGATTTCAGACTGATGAAAATATTGAGACACCTTCCAGGTAGATGAGACTGAAGGCTTTCAAATGAAAAGGTGCCAAGTTTTCAAATTCTTTTGGTGTTCCCATGATGCCTTGTATTATTTACTTCATCCACTAAACTCTTGGAGTTAAGTGGCTGATAAAATTGGAATGTCCACTTTGCAAATATGAAAGTGGGTTTGTAGCCATCAGGATTGCAGCGTGAATGATAAGGACTCGAAAATCAGACATGATATAACTGCCAGAGTGAGGTATATTAATGCATTTCCAGTACTGAAGAACAGAGAAGGTACTATCATCACTGTTCTAAACTGGAAACAGCTTTCCTGATGTTTTGCCTTTAATTATGGCAAAAGTTGAAAACTTTCTTTTAAAGAAAAAATTATTCCTAATAAAGATTTGAAATAACCTTAATCAGGGCATATTTTTCTAACAAATTGCCTGTATAAGCAATAGAATAACATGGCTACAGTGCTGTTTTGGGTTTTTTTTTTTTTTCAAATTAAAATATATTTCAGAACAAACAAATTGCAGTTGTAGAAAACTATACAAAGAACCTATTAACGCTTCTAACAATTTTAGTAGGTAAAAAAGTAAACAAAGATGTGAAGAAGGATACAAAGAGAAAATTTACTGGCTTATGAAAACATTTGCATATACAAACTTATCCCCATGATAAAATATAAAAAAATGTATACTGATATGCTCTGGAAAGCATGTCTATTAAAACATTTTACCTGGCCTTATAAAGGATATCAATAATTTACACTCTGAATGAGAATTAATTTTGCTCTGCTTACTCTCTGAATGCCAAATTCACAAACAACTGCTGCCTAGACAAAACGTCCTGTTACTTGCTGATGAAGAATGAAGTGTTTTGCCTCTAAACCCATGGACTTCTACCAAGATGACCCAGAAAAGGTATGCTGAGCATCCTGGACTATTGCAACGCTCATGGAACATGATGTCTCATCCTGTACCTCTGTTCCTTAAAGGCCATGTATAAATTTATTCCATCACCTCTAAAGATAGGATTTTTTTTTTTTTTTTAATTCCCCCAGCAACAAAACCCCAACAAAACCTACCCACCACCATTACTATGGTTGCTTAAATAGGAAGTTATTTTGCTTCTCTTGTTGGGTGAAATTCCAGCTAATTTCTGACATACAGCAAAGCATTTGGAAATACAATACAAAAAATCTTAGTAAACTAATTTTCAGTTTGCCAAAATTATTCAGTATGATTAAGCACACCAACAACCTAAACCCAGAAAGAACAGCCCAACTCTTTCTGGTATCATTAAGGTATCACTTATAAATGAAATCTGAAATTATTAATGGGACTGCTGTGCAAACTTTTGACATGGTATTTAGAAATGCTTTCTTCAGTGGGCTCTGCAAGTTTGCAAATACAGTATTTTCAAAGAAAGCAAGCATCTTTAAGAGGCCAGGCTGTGTACGTCTAATAAAAACAGAATGTTAACACAGGTTTTCTAAACTCCGCTGGTAACTTCATTACATTGATTTAAAATTGGATCTGCGTATAAAACCTATTAGTAATGTACATCTAAATAAGTGACAAAGTGATTAGGTAATCCCCATAGTTGTACTGTTCCAAGAGTAAATAAATAGTTTAAAATATGCATCTCAATTTAAAAAATAGAGTAGTATGCACAAAGTGAAGGCATAGCTAAGTTTCTACATTCCAATTCATAATTTTATCATAGTCCTGAATTCGTTGTTTTATGTGAGAAAGCTTATTCTTCAGGTATTCACAACGCTCCTTTTTCTCCAGAAATGCAGGATCCTGCCAAAAATACAAAAACCTTTACATTAATATATTACGCTTTTGGACTCTTCCAAGAATAGTATATTATCAGTTACATTTTTGATTAAGGACAGTATATAAATATTCTGCACAATCACACTCTTTTTCTCTGGTCACAATTTCTTATTTCCTGCTTCCACTTTATAAAAGGCTGGAAAAGAGGTTCTGCTTTCATGCGCTGTAGTTACTTAGTATAACAGAGCAGTTTTTAAACCCAAAACTGCAAATATAAATGACATCTTACTACATCATTTGGCTTTTATAGGTGTGTTACGGTATAGCTAATAAATCTCTCCCCCCCAAAAATCAATGAAGTTTAAGTAACACAGGCAAAATACTAAACACATTTACCGCCCACATTTAAAAATTAGAAAGTGAAACCTCTTGGATTACACTGAAAATTACTTTCTGTGAGTCTAAGTTCTATGCCACAAAGAAAACACAAAACTTCTTTTCAAGGTGAGACTATGTTTTCTGTTGTTAACTTATCTGTTGGCTGTGTCAGTCAGTGAATACACATGAACTGGATCCCCCAAAATAACCGGTCATCTGAATACAGAATGTTGAGATGAGACATAGTCTCAGAAGTTGAAAATCTTAACTGTTGGGGTTTTTCTCCCCACATCTGGCTAATGGACTTATTATTCCCAAAACAGATTGTTGGCAGGAGTGGAGTGGTCTGTTTCCTAACTTTGCCAAAGTTTTCAAAGACAAAATACACAAAGCTTTGTAGTAGTTAAGGATACCCTGAGATAGTGAATTAGACCTAGTGTCAGACATGTTGGCTATTTACGCTTTCGTTGATATTCATTAGATTCACTAACAATGTAAAGCTGAAAACACTCACATTTTTCTTCTTCTTGTATTCTTGCAGAACTTTTGATATCCTTTCCTGTTCCTAATGAGAAAGACCACACATTTTTAAACACTTTGAGTGGGCTCCATATCTTCATGTAAATTCTACAAAATACTTGTCAAAAGTAAAATTCTCATTGATCCATCAAATATAGTTGTGACATTTTAGTTCTAAATCTTGTGCTTGAGAAATAGTGAAAGTACATTAACTGTAACTCAAACTTGAAAGCTAGTAGCATGCAAAAAAAAAGGCCAAACAAAAAAACCCCCAAGTCTACAACTTAATTGCAACTTAGTGTCCTTGACAAAACAAGAAATAAGGTATGTGTGGAAACTTTCTCTCCCACCAAGTCACCGCAAGCATTACAAGGCCTTGTGCCCTAGCTAAAGACAATCAGACACTGCCTAATACCACACCTCGACTCCTTGAGCTCGTTTCACAGTTACTTACATAGATGCTTTCGGGATGGTGAGGAAGCTGCCTCATCAATGCATCCAGCTCATCAAACTTTTTTAATACGGCGTGAACTTCCACAGACAGTTCTTTGTACTCAGCAAACTGATCATTGAATACTGCTTTGTACCGGTCTCGCATTTCATTTGTTTGAATTGCTGGGTATTTCCTTAAAAAAAATAAAAAAAAATAAAATTTAAAGGACTAGTTTTAGAGAAAGGAGTTCAATAAACACATGGAACCTTCACCTTGATAGTATTTCTGTATTGTTTGCTAATCTCATAACCTGCTGAAATTTGCAAGTATGAAAAGCATTGAAATCACTGAATGATTCTATGACAAAGTGGTTGAGGTTGGAAGGGACCCCTGGAGGTCATATGGACCACCCTCCTTGCTCAAGCAGGGCCACCAAGATCTGGCTGCCTTGGACTGTGTCCAGACGGCTTTTGAGTATCTCCAAGGATGGAGACTCCATAATCTCTGTGGGCAACCTGTGCTAACCTTCACAGTTAAAAAGATTTTCCTACTATTCAGGTGGAACATCCTGTGTTTCAGTTTGTGCCCTACTCTATGGCATGGAAAGGTTTACCCTTCAAAAGGGAGAATGTTACAGATTTAGCGTTTAGAAAGTACAAGAGTAGTCAAATTTCAGGGGCAAAAAAGACAAGTAATTTCCCATATTTTTTTTTTTTTTTTCTGAATTGTCTGCATGGCGGTCTGCTGTTCCTTTGGCAGTTATTGTACTTAATAGATTCTAACATTCTGCTTTAACATTTGAGGTTTGGGTGGGGTTTTTTAAATTTAAGATTCTGTATTTATATTACTGGTTCTACGCCATTCATACCAGCCCCCATCCCCTCTATTTTTAGCATTAACTTAATACAGAATTATGAGTTCCTATGGCACATGCATGGTAGAGAAAATCTGAGTGTATATATGAGAAATGCTGAGTGAAAAGTGTTCTCCATAAGTTTGTCCATCAAAGTTAAGTAACTTACGCTAAGTAGTCTGGCATCACTATAGGTTTAGGAATGTGGCCTGCAGGTATATGACCATTAAGTAGTTCTGGTTTTCTTTCCATTGATTTAAGTTGCCTGTAAGTGACCTCTTCTCTTGGTCTGTCATCACTTTCATACTGTTTTAAAAGAAAAAAAGAAAAAAAAAAGAAGTTCTTAATGGAGTCAGTTTTACTTCAAATGCAATATATATAAACCACAAAATACTCAACTCACAGAGATACCAGTACTGAGCAGCAGTAGAAGCAAATAATAGATATTTCTTACAGCCCTTATTGTAACTAAAACATTACTAAAGAGAAACAGTATTGTTTTGCACACAGTACCCATCTCCAGTTTGTCCTAACAGTGGTACCAGTAACAGATAAATATTTATTGTCTTATGTGTCTTAAAAAAAATAATCTAAGGAAGTTTCCTTGGATTTCCATCTAATTTGTGAATGGACAGGAATCACTCAGTTCTCTGGAGTCCCCTTTTCCCCTTGTTTCCTATTGCACAATTTATCACTTGATCCAGAAAATAAAGCATGTGGAGTCTCGTTGGAACACATGAAAAAAAGATCCTGGTCCAGTACAAAAGCAACAGAGAAAACAGTGGTAGGAAATCCAAGGTATCTAACAGGAGACACTTAAGACTGAAATAAATTCACCATAAATTCTCTGGGAATCATCACAATTTGCTGTTCGGATCCTGTACAGTCTTTGCATATAGAGTATGCAACTGCATCTCTGTGTGGCAGAAGCACTAGAAGTGCTGATACTTCAAAACTGATAAGGAGGTCTTCAGAGAAGTCTCAGAGACAGGAACAGGCTCAGCTGAAGGAGCACCAGCCACTGTGCTTCCACTGGTTCTCCTCCAAATAAAGCAGACAGCCAAGAGGAAAGAGTCTCTAGAATCTACAACGCATCAGATGACCTGCTGTTCTAGCTATGTCTGCCAAATTCTGTGATAAATGCTACAGAACTTGTCACTTTATAAAAGAGGGTAAGAGCACATACAGAGGCCAGTCATCAGATTTGCTTTTTACAGTAAATTTTATAACCTAGCCTAGCTAGCAGTAACTTCTTTACAAGCTTCTTCCGAATCTCTTAGGTAGGACAATGTTGTCCAGACAATGGTACAGAATTCAACATGATCTCTTCCAAGCCAAGTAAGTAAAGAAATAAATAGGTCAATCAAAATAGTCACAAGAAAAAGAACAACCATTTGGGAATACCATTTGGAAAACAGAAAAATAAATTTCTATTTCCTACCTTCTTTTCTGGAAAAGAAGACTGTGTTTTCATCTATAAAAAATTGGAGAGAACTGTAAGTTTTATAGTATGCAAAACCACAGACTTTTAAAATCTAAAATTTTTCAAAATCATGCTGTACAGAGAATTACATTTATATTTAGGTGTGAAGAAATTTAGCATAAGGAATATTTGCAGATCAACTAATTTAAAGACTGTTTGCAGATCAACTAATTTAAATGTCTTTAAAGACATTTAAAGAATGGTGGAACGAAAACCACCCAAACCCCAGAATAACAACAGGAGCTCCCAGAACATAGCTGTAAGGAACAGCTTGCAGGAAACACTCCATCCACTTCCCAGTCTCCTTCATTATTTCACATTCCAGCCCATATTAACTCACTGACACCCTGCAGCCTAATTCATTGCCTAGAAAACACGACAGTGCACTAACCAGTAGCTCAACCAGCAGCTGTTTTGTACAGCACTCTCCAGAGCCTAACCTATATTATAAAAGTATTCCCTTTAGAAATATTAAATAACTGGAATAAAAGAACATGGACAGTAACAGGGAAGAGGGACTGAACACCTTCTATATAATTCTAGCAGTCGCCTCATTCTTGCAGGGCATATTAATGGTGGTTAAAAGACTTTTGTCAAAGATCTGCAATGAACTTTTTGAAAGGGGAGTCTGTTTTATGCAAGATGGCGGAATGGGAACCAGTGTTAAATGAAAAGGCTGCAAATCAGACTGCAGCCACAATGCAGAGGAAATGCAACTTGAAACTCGCTCTCTCCTACTAAAATCACCTCTCCTTAAGTTAGGCTTATGTAGGCTTCACATATGTTAATTTTTATGCTATATAAAGTTTTATTAATTTTTAAAGGGGTTTTTTTGCAGTGTTTTCATGTGAAGGAGGTTTTACACAAATGGCTTTGAATTCTGCAGTTGATGGTGTTAAGTCTCCACCATTACAGTTTATTATTAACCAGGCGAGTATTAAATGCTTTTAGTAAGGGCATGGCCAGCAGCAAGGCAAGATACTTGATGGGAAAAAGATGAAGCCAATTGAAATCTGAGACACCAAAATCGAGCCAACTCTGTTATTACTATTATTTTCTGGTAGCTCTTGTAAGGAAAGCTGAAAAGACATGAAGAACTAGCTTGGAGTTTTGCCTAGAAAGTAAAGAACGTGAAATATTTTTTTTTATGGTCATTTATAGTAGCACTTAATGCGCTGGAAGCACAGTCTTCGAATAAACGCGAGGCAGCTTTAAGCCTAACCCTCCTGAGCAGCTGAACAAGCACATTGTTCATTCCTTCCTTTGTTTGGAAAATACACACCAGGAAGTAGTTCATCAGCTGAGGCAGGAAGAGAGCTGAGGATTACAAACAGAACAGAGCCAGCTCCTTACCGAAGTGAATTAAAAAAACGAACAGCAAACCTCCAAGAATTTGGATCAGACATCTTAAAAACACCTTACATTTGGCAATCTGAAATACTGTTAAGACTGGTGAAGTTTCACCTTCAAAGGCTGCAGAGAAGACACCTGATATGACTTCATCTACAGCATGGAAAGGTCTTACAGCTCATAGAATAGTTTGGGTTGGAAGGGACCATTAAAGGTCATCTAGTCCAATCCCCCTTCAATAAGCAGGGTCGTCTTCAACTAGATCAGGTTGCTCAGAGCCCCATCCAATCTGACCTTGAATGACCCTAGGGATGGGACATCTACCACCTCTCTGGGCAACCTGGGCCAGTGTTTCACCTCCCTCATCGTTAAAATGTTTTTTCTTCTATCTAGTCTAAATCTTCCCTCTTTTAGTTTAAAATCATTACCCCTTCTCCTACCTCTACAGACCCTACTAAAAAGTTCATCCCCATCTTTTCTGTAGGCCCCCTTTAAGTAGTGGAAGGCTGGTATAGGGTCTCCCCAGAGCCTTCTGTTCTCCAGGTTGAACTCTCAGCCTGTCTTCACAGGAAAGGTGCTCCAGCCCTCTCATCATTTTTGTGGCTTCCTCTTGACCCATTGCAATGCTGAGGGCTCCAGAGCTGGATGCAGTACTCCAGGTGGTGTCTCACCAGAGTGGAGTAGAGGGGTAGGATCACCTCTCTGGACCTGCTGGCCACAATGCCCCATCACTCCATACGCAGTAGATACAAAATGATAACTAATGGCTTACCTCCTGCTCCATTAATTCCCGGTGCCTCCTAGCTCCTTCATGCCTCCATAACTTTAGAGAGACCACTGCGCTAATTAGATAGATGATCACCGTGACAAACAAGAAGATGATTGCTGCTGTCTGACCTCCCTCTACGCGGCAAAAAGATGCATTGATCGGCGTCTTAAACAACTGGTAGTAGCAAAGCCCTCCTCGGTTGGTGTCGTTTACGTACACTATGGCGGCCGACATGTACAGAAAGAACAAGGCCACGTTAATTCCGAACTCAGTCAGGGGCCACCAGTTGGAGTCGAGGAGGATGGTCCGGTAGTACATGGACATGCCCAGCACCAGCAGCACTATGGTGACGATCCACGCCATTCCCGCCACCACCAGGATGAAGGGCGTTTTGGGCCCGCTGTAGGAGTAGCCGCCGTAGGCGCTCCCGGCCCCGTAGCCGTAGGGCTGCGAGTACCCGAACATGTTGTACCACTCGTTGTCCTTGTGGACGTAGGCCGTGACGCAGGCGAAGACGGCGGCGCCCAGCAGCAGCTCCACCACGCAGAGGATCCTCAGCAGCCCGGCCCAGGACTTCATGTAGGCGTACCGCTGGTTGTAGGCCTCCACGCGCTCGCTGTAGGTCTGTCCGGTGGCAGCCCGGTGCTCCAGTGACCCGAAGGGGTCCTCCGGCAGCATGGCCTCAGCCTCCTTCCGCGAGTTGTAGCTCCCGCCCGACCCTCCGTAGGGATCCTTGTAGGAGTCGGGCACCGAGCGGGGCTGCGGCGGGGCCGGCGAGGCGGGCGGCGAGCACTCCACCCCGTCGGAGATGTACCTGATGTCGGAGGCCGTGCTGTCCCAGCTGGAGCCGTGGCGGCGTCTCCCTCTGAAGAAGTTCTTCCACGAGTCCGGGATGAACCGCCGGACCGGCTTGAGCTCGGCCGGGCCGCCCTCCCCGGGGTAGGCGCCGGGGCCGAAGGGGGGCTGCAAGGGGAGCGGCGGGGGCGGCAAAGGGGCGGCGGCCCCCGGCTCTGCCTCCCGGGGGAGAGAGGAGCCGGGACCGGCCCCGCGGGGCCGCCCGCCCTCCGAGCCGGTGCTCCGCGACATGGCTGGCGCTCGGCCCGGCCTCGGGGCGCTCCCCGGCCCGGCTCAGCCGCCTCTCACCCCCACGGCGGCCCCGGCCCGGCCCGGCCGCTTTCGGAGGGGTCGGGGACTCGCCGTGTCCGTGGCGGGGTGCGGGAGGTTTCCCTTCGATTCCCCTCGTTTCCCCGTCCGAGGGGAACCCCGAAAAGTTGTGCGGGGGGCAGCCGCCGTGCCCGCGCCCCGCCTCGCCGGCTGAAGGAGCGGGGGGGGGGCAGCAGGACCCTTGCTCCAGGGTCACATTCACCCCCCGCGACAGGCCGTGGAAGTATTGCCAAAAATAGAGTCCCAAATAATCCATCACACAGCCTGTGTTCAGTTTGTATTTTTTAATCTTTCTATTAATCTCTATTGTATTTCTATTTCATATTTATACTTCATGTTCACACAAAATATCTGTGTCCAAGCACAAAACAGCAGTAGGAGTCTTATTTACATCATCAGCATGGGATATAAAACCTTTAGGTGTACACTACAGTCACTTGTTTCTTCCAAACTTCTTTCTTCCAAACCGCAATTAATTATTTTATTTTTTTTTTTAAGGTATAAATTTTAATAAAACCTTCCAATGCTTCCAATATCAAATGTAGAAGCCCAGAAACGCACTGTACAAATGCAAAGTAAATAAAAATGTGTTAACTATAAAAATAAAGAGTGGCACTACCTACCTACAGTCTCTTCATAAGTCATTGTCTGATTACCTCTTTTTATAGGGATGGATAACTCATGGCTCAGAAGAGGCAGGAGATGGCTTGTGATTTAGTATTCAGCTCAGGTGTGATCCTGCAAAGCTAAGGAGAAACTGAGGAAACTTATCTTGGTGCTGACTTGGCCTTCTAGCCCACCTCCGTAGCTAAAGGAGTATTTTTGTGCAGATGATGCCCTCTTCAGCAAAGGTTTCTGTAGCATATTAGTCTGTTCTCACGAGTTAGTGATATTCAGTCACTATCCTGCTCCACTATTTTTAATTCATCTCCCTCCATGAGTGCTTGAGCGGCAGCAGGTTTGTTTCCACTGCGTTGGCTGGAAGTAAGAAGGAATCCATCCCATTCGTTCTCATTCCTTCTGCTTTTCTCCATCCGTACAGCCATCTCCAAAGCATTCATATCAGCAGGGTCCCCCTCATAACTAATACATAATTCTGGCATGCCAGGACCTTTTATGAATAAGTGTTTTCAAACTTTAACCTGTAAAATTATCACACCCAGGGTAAGTTATCGTGGGGGAAAATGTTTCCTGCTCTCTCAGCACAGAAACTGCAGTGTAAAGGGCTGCCCCCATGCTGCACAAGTCTCTGCCCTCAGCACCTTTCAACTATTCTGGCAGTAATGACCTCTATTCACCACCACTAATTCAAGCCGTGCACATTCTTTCCTTACATCACTGCCATCACTATTACACATTATGGCTCTGTGCACATCTTTCAATTACAGGTATTTGTGCCCATAACTCTACGTAACTTACATGAGAACCCACAGAATATGTGGAAGTTACATTTGAAATGGTGCCAAGTTGGATTGGTTAGTAATCCAACTTACTAATGTGGAGGCAAAAGGTTTACCAGTGTTTAAATGTATGCTGTGGACAAGATTAGTGGTGTGAAGAAGTCTACAATTAATTTGTAAAGTTATAAACATTTTGCCTTAGACTAGGGAGATTGCAAAGAAACACACCAGTTTGGGAAACCTTCCTTTCTTCCTGACTAGCAGCCGAAACTGGGTTTAATACAAGCCAACAACATCCCGGCCTGCATCAGGAACAGTGTGGTGAGTAGGACTCGGGAGGTGATCCTCCCCCTGTACTGGGCACTGATGAGGCCCCACCTCGAGTACTGTGTCCAGTTTTGGGCTGAGGGGAGACCGTATAGCTATCTATAACCATCTGAAAGGAGTGTGTAGAGAGGCAGGGGTTGGTCTCTTTTCACAAGTCACAGGTGATAGGACAAAAGGAAATGGCCTTGGGTTGTGCCAGGGGAGGTTCAGATTGGATATTAGAAAAATTTTTTACACTGAAAGGGTTATTAAGCATTGGAATGGGCTGCCCAGAGAAGTGGTTGAGGCACCATCCCTGGAGATGTTCAAAAGACAGGTTGACATAGTGCTTAGAGATATGGTTTAGTGATGGCTTCTATCAGAGTTAGGTTGACGGTTGGACTAGATCTTAAAGGTCCCTTCCAACCTGGACAATTCTATGATCCTATGTTGGGGAACAGGCTGTTCCTGGGTAACACAGCCTTAATCTTACAGGCCAGTATGTCATAGTACAAGTCAGACAGTAATAGTACAGTGGTAAATATGAAATAATTTGTCAGATGCCCTGACAAACTTTTTCTCTTGGCTAAGAAAAGTTAGTCTTGTTTCAGTTAAATTTAAAATAAATTTAAATATGATCATGATCCTTTATTTGAAAAAAGCATCACAATTAAGTCCCTTTTTCAATTTCAGAGGTATCAAAAAATGTAACCAAGACTCTATTGGTACAAATGGTCCCTATGGTTCATAAGGCTTGCTAGAGGCACAGTATAGCATGTCATGCTTGTGCCAGCCCATTGGCACTATACAGTCTATAGGTAGAGCACTACAGCCTCGCAACTGAAAAAAAAGGTCAGTATTTTTTCAGCATTCTGACATCTATGACAGAGGCATTTCAATGGCTGCGGTTTTATAAAAAACGTCATTCTAGACAAAGTTTTCCCTAAGCAGTCTGATAGGCACAAATTCCACGAAATAAAAATCAGTGCTGCTATCTAATTTCCAAAAAAGTGCTGATTAAAATATTTTTGTAGTTTCATAGGTGTATGAATGCTTCAAAGGAAAGAATAATTTTCCACTATACTTTCTTTATTACACCTCTCACTGACACTACACGTAAATATGAACGTTCTGCCAGAGCTCCAGATTAATGTTTTCTGTCAAGATAAACAAAGGGCAAAGCACACCACACCCTTTGTTTCAGTCCAGTTTTATTCTCACTAAATCTTTTTGTTTGCAAAACCAAAGGTCTTATCCACATCGTGGACAAACAGACCTATGCCTAGGTCACACAACTAATATTTGATACAATGGAAAAGAAAGCTAAACAAGGGTTAAAAACAAGATTGTAGTTAAAATGTTGCTACTAACATCACAATTCTAGGTAGATTTAAACTGAAAAAAAAAAAATTGAGTCAAAATATAAAGCTACAAGTGAGGGAAAATTTCACATTACAGATGTACACTAAAGATGTTTCTGTATGAAAGGATTCTTTTCATTAAGTTATTAAGAAAGAAAGTGTTTGTGAGAAAGTACACATCAACTTTACCTCCCTAAATGTCTTTTCAGTGGTAATTTCCCAACATCTTGGATAAAAGCAATCTTGAGCTGAGAAAAAGAACCACAAGCATCATATTGGGTAGATCACAATGCACATAGAATTAAAGATACTGGAAAATAAATAATTGGTATGTTTACTTAAGTGATCCTGTATTATTTTGGATACCAAAATATATTTGCATTATTTTGGATACAAAGCAGTTCATATATATATATTTGCATTGTTTATCACATTACCGTAACAAATTTGCAGATAGCCTCCACAGAATAATAAATCCATAGTGTCTGTCAACTGTGTATTTGTTAAGTAAAGTTATTATTGCATAGCCTGCAAAATTAATTAATCCAGACGGTAAAGCCTTAGGTAAGATTTAGAGCCTTTTTTTAGAAGTAATTAACATAGCATAGGTGACCCAGCTGTGAGAACAGTGATTTTTGGATTACATACCACACATGGTAACCACCTGTTACTGCATTGCCTCATGTTACACAGATTTTTTTGAACGTACTGCAAACTTTGGTTTTGTTTACTTTACCTGGAAAAAACTTTTTAAAACTTTTTGAGTCTGTTGGTGTTACTTTAAAGGGATCAGTAAGCAATGAAGAACTAGTTAATATAGTCTACGAGATCTCCAGAAGGCTTCTCACCAAGTCCCCTAAAGGCTTTTCAAAGAAATCTTAAGCCTTAAAAGAAGCCTTAAGCCTAGAAGAATGACTTAACAGTAAAGTCTGATAAATAATTAACAGGTAGGAAATGGGGGAGGGGAGCATGTGTTAATAGTTAACTCCTGCAATGGCGGGAAATTGCCAATATGGTTCTGCAGGGATCAGGGCTAGGACCTGGGCTATCCAGTACATCCCTAAATGTAACCCTGTCAAAAAGGGGGGTGAAGAGCCAAACTAGCCACTTTGCTGAAGATGCCAAGTTAGACAGGCTGGCAAGGATGTGGGCTGTCAGAAGAGCTGTGCCAGGACTTTATGAGACTGATGACAGGGCAATAGCAAGACGAAATTCAACGTATGCAGATACCTGAAATCCATGCAGTAAAAAAAAGGGAAGAAAGATTGAAAATACTGCAATATGAGGACCCTGACTGACATATTTGTGAAGCATCATATATACCTCCCTTCTGGAAAGACAGATACTTGTTTAATTCTTTCAGTTAAATAAGTTTTAAAGATGTTCTTGGTGGTGTTTCATACCTAACAGGAGAGCTTGAGCTTTGACTGGAAGTGTATCTATGTACCAGCTACATGTGTATACCAAACACAGGTTTTTTGGTTAGGCAAAAGGATAGATGATATTGATATTTTGGGTTACAAAAATGTATTGTTATGCTTACTGATGAAAAAAAGTAATGTCTAAGTGCAAGAGTTACACTGATCTTACCTTGGTTTCTCATTGGGTTGGCTAACATAGCAAGATAAGGTATAGCTCCATCTGAAGACTCTCTGGTGGTAAACAGAGGCTTGAAAAGAGATTTTGCAGCAAGACAGCTTTTGTGATCCTGTAAGAGTTGAGGGGGGGGACAAAACACAAGTGGAAAAACCTGCTAAACCATAATTAATGCATACATTTTGTACCATGCAAAGCAGCGTGATGACTTTAATGACAACTACACACAAGCTGCTGAAGAATGAGTCCAGAAAAGACATAAGCAGTTGGAGTTAACATGTACAAATAATAAAAATAATGAATTTCTTCATTTTTGTCTTCA